TCTCAGTCACTTTTCACTCTGCCGGGATTTTATAGCTTTTCCAGTTCTGAGCAAATGCAATCCTAGCTGTTGTTATTTATTTTTATTTATTTTATTTATTTGATTTGTCAATTGTTTACAAGATAATAAGTATAAGTGTATACATAGTTATGAATACATGAAATGGGTACATATAAGAAAAATAAAAGAAACAATAGGACAGGGATGGTAGGCACGTTGGTGCGCTTATGCACGCCCCCTAGAGACCTCTTAGGAAAGGGGTGAGGTCAATAGTAGACAGTCTAAGGTTAAAGTTTTTGGGTTTGGGGAAGAAACTACAGAGTCGGGTAGAGTATTCCAGACATTGACCACTCTGTTGCTGAAGTCGTATTTCCTGCAATCAAGTTTGGTGCGGTTAACCTTGAGTTTGTATCTATTGTGTGCTCTTGTGTTGTTATGGTTGAAGCTGAAGTATTCATTGATAGGTAGGACATTGCAATGTATGATTTTATATACCATACTTAAATCAGACCGAAGACGGCGTAATTCAAGGTTTTCTAGTTCTAGAATTTCAAGTCTGGTGGCATAAGGTATTCTACAACGAGTAGAAGAGTGGAGAACTCTTCTTGTGAAATATTTCTGGACTTTCTCAATTGTGTTAATATCAGATACGTAATGAGGGTTCCAGACTGATGAACTGTATTCGAGTATTGGTCTAGCAAATGTTTTGTATGCTCTGGTTAGTAGTGTGATATTACCAGAGAAAAAGCTACGTAGGATTAGGTTAACAACTCTTAATGCCTTTTTGGCTATGTAGTTGCAGTGGGCTCTAGCACTTAGATCATTAGAGGTGAGTATTCCAAGGTCCTTTACAGAGCTTGAATCATCAACAAGATCTTGACTATTCAGCTTGTATTTTATTTTCTGATTTTTTTTGCCAATATGTAAGACAGAGCATTTATTTGTTGAGATTTGAAGTTGCCATTTGTTTGACCATTCTGATACATAGTCAAGATCTTTTTGAAGGGTAGCAGTATTGTCTGTGGTATTGAACAGCTTTACATCATCAGCGAAAAGAACGCAGTTGCTCTTAATATGATCACAGAGGTCATTTATGTAGAGTATGAAGAGAGTTGGTCCTAGAACACTGCTTAATATATGGGTATGTTTATATGGGTATGTATATATGGGTATTATCAAGTATGTTTTTTCATCCCTAATAAAAATATTTCCGGTTTCAAATCTATGTGTTGCTTTATCATTTTTTCCAACCATGTGTGTATTTTTGACCAATATCTTTTAGCTTCTACGCATGTCCACCACATATGGTAATATGATCTGGGTGTGTGGTGGCACTTCCAGCATTTTGGTGATTTATCTTTAAACATCTTTAAACATCACCAGTTTTGCTGGTGCAAAGTGCCATCTATGAAACATCTTATACAGATTTTCTTTATATGCTGTCGATATTGTTAATTTAGAATTTCTTTCCCATAGCTTCTACCATTTATCTAATTCAATGGTACACCCAAAATTTTTCACCCATGCTATCATCGTTTCCTTTACTTGCTCTTCTTCTAATTTAATACCTAGTAAGTAACAATACAATTTTTAATTAGCTTATCTTCCGCTCCTGTTAATGTTTTATCCAACTCTGTCAAGTATTTATGGCCTTTACAGTTCTTTAAAGCAAGGGAACGCTGAAGTAAGATTTTAAGGACAGTTATGATTTCACTTAGTGATAGCTTCATTTAAAAACCAGCTTGCTGATCTCAACTGCAGTCAGTAAACAAGGACTACCTGTATTTCATAGCACAATTCAAAAACTGATTTGTTGGATTAAATCTTCATGCTTAAAGGTTGACTCAGCCTTCCATCCTTCCAACGTCAGTTAAATAAGGAACCAAATTGTTGGGGGGAATATGCTGACTCTGCAAATCACTTAGAGATGGCTGTAAAGCACTGTGAATATAAGTCTAAGTGCAATTGCTATTTAATATTGGCTACAAAAGTCAGAAATCATACAGCTGAATTTTTAGGGCCCAAAAAGATTAAAATATATATCTGGCGCAATTTATAAAAAGAGACATATTTAGGAAGCAAGAAAACTCCCCTTCACCCAAACCCCCCCAAAACCATTAAGTGAGGCAAAAAGTAGCATTAATAGGGGGAATTTGAGTGGTAGCACAAGACAAATACATTTCTTAGAATAGAACAGAATTCTTTATTGGCCAAGTGTGATTGGACACACAAGGAATTAGATATCTCTTGGTTGCTAATTGTTTTGAGCATTTTTTTAAAATGGAAAGTTGAAAAAAGAATAATGATATTCTTTTCATACTCATCCTTTACCTAACCCCCACCAGTAAAAATAAATGTAGATCAAATGTTTTTGACAGGGCTGGGGCACATAATATCAAAGGTATCACAGTCTCTCAACACAATTTACCTCACAGGATTGTTGTTCTAATTAAAAATGGGAGAGATCAGTATATATGCTGCCTCCTGCACCTGTAAAAAAGGAAAGATATAAATCTACTATACCTGCAAGCAAAAAAAAAATCAGGAAAAGGTCTTGCTCTTCACATTTCTTTTAATGTGATGCAAGCTTGTATAGGTCTACTTGCTAAAAGTTACAAATAGAGGGCTGTTGGAAGCGACAAATGGAAACTTTTGTTTTCTTCTTAGGGAGTCCTGTTTGCTCTTCAGTAATGGACTAAGCACAGCCTAATTCAGATATTCTCATAAGCTGTTATCACATGAGTTTTACGTTCAAAATTATTCCTCTAGGATTCCATAGGGCATATTCATTTCAGGTGTCCATCTACAGGAGTGTTTCTGGGTGGTGTACAGAGATTAAAATAACATGTACAAGCTTTCATAGAGGGGAGTATAACCTTAAGGTTTAAATTCTGAATTAGAAGATTCTAAAATTCCATTTGGTATAAAAGAATCTCTCAGGTTCGAATAACTAAGTAACATTTAAAATAAAAGACTGCAAATAACTATACAAAATGTGTTTATTAAAGCAGTAGACATAAAGGTAAATGCACAGGCTTTGTATATCTAATTGAAGACTGAAGTTTTATTTGGCATATATCGAAAGCAAATTGTTCAGTTTCTCTTTCAGCTCTACTCTTCTAATAACCCACTTTACAAATCACCTACAATAGCAGTAACATCCACTTAATTTTAGTATGAAATAGAAGTCAAAAACAATAGCTATAAAAATAGTTCCTCTTTCCTATATGTTTACAAGACAAATAGTGTTCTTTGGAATGAAGATTTATAATAAATATGCCCAAAATTCAGTAGTTTCTAAAAGCACATCAGCAAACTTTCTGTGTTTACTTTTAGCTCTTAGTCTGTCCAAATCAATCTATTTTACAGCAGCAATTTTACTTGCTACAATTACTGCAGTATTAAGTGGTGTAAAATTTAAAAAAGGCTGTTCCTTTAGAAAAATTCTAGTAAATTTTGTAGACCCAGAGAACATCCAAACTAATTGAAGATCCAAGTATTATTATATTACAGTAGATTTATACCAGTGTTTTCTGGTTTGTTGCTTTCTCTCCCTTCTTTCTTTGTCTCTCCCTTTTTTTGTTTCTCTCCTTCATTTCAAAGTCCATCTTCAGGGCTTCCATGCTAACTATCCAAACAGAAATTGAATGAATAAGGTTTTCTGCCAAGTAGACATGTGAAGTTGAATGTTGGAATGAAAGCTATTGTAAGAATTAGAAATCTGCAGAAGCAACTTCATGGAGATGTGAGTTTTAAGATAAGGATACTTTGCACTGTATAATCCATTCAGTGTTTAAAAATTACACTAAATAAAAGGAAGATTCTTATTAAAGAACATGTTCGGTTTTTCTCCTGAAACGGCAAAAAAGCAGAATCTCTTCATTACTTTTTATCCCATGTTAAGCCAGTTTTGCAGATCTTATTTGAAAATATATGATCAGCTTCAGAATCCTACTTTTCACAAACTTCCAGTATATTTCACTTACATTCTCTAAAATTTAGGCCCCTGCATTAAAATGAGAATTCTACAGTTACAGACAGACAGACAGAGATAGAGATATATAGATAGAGATATATAGATATATAGACACACCACACCCACACCCATAATTTGTGCAATTGCTTGGGTTACTTTCTTACATGGCTAGAAGTGGTCTACATTTTTAAAAGCAAGTGATATTAACTATGGAACTGGGAGGCAGGGCAAAAAGAAATCCAACTATTAAATCACTGGCGAATGGTCTGCGTATCAGCTGCTTTGGTTATGTCTTTCACCTCCAGCATTTCATGGACCAGTATATTTATAGAAAATTCCAGCTAGAATGCCAAGAGAAAATAAGGAGTGCATTTGATGAGTGACAGGACATCACAGTTGCAGCCCACTTATCATCGTTCAATCTAGTATGGTATCACTATTAGGTTAATGTAGGACAGGGGTGTCCAACCTTGGCAACTTTAAGCTTGGAGGACTTCAACTCCCAGAATTCCCCAGCCAGCAAAGCTGGCTGGGGAATTCTGGGAGTTGAAGTCCTCCAGGCTTAAAGTTGCCAAGGTTGGACACCCCTGATGTAGGAGATGACCAAGCTGAGCTCGAGGGACGGGTCAAATATGTCACCAGTCATAAGTCCTTTCGTGCCCACAAGAGATCTAAGTCCAGCCCACCTTGAATTCTGTGGACTTTTATCTATCACCAATTTGCCTTGACCGTTACTAGCTCAGATTCATGTAGAGAGCATCAGCATACAATAAACATATTCATTTGAATTACCTGGACTCCTGGTTTCCTGCACTTGTCATTTAGGTTGAGAATAAAGCCCAGGACCATGGGCTCCAGTCAATTGCAAAGCAAAGGAAAGGTCAGACTCCTTGTTTTCCCACAGCCATTTAATAGTAGCTATAAACCTCTAAATATTCATTTCCATGGATGGGGGCAGGGGGGGGGGCTAGGAAGCCAGCTCTTGAGAAAAATAATGCACTAATTAGCAAAACTTACATGTATTTCAATCATGGAAGGCTTGGTAGTTAAAAAACTCAGTCCTCCTTTTGACGTCATACATCCCAGCTTTGCGTTTGTGTCGGCAGACCAAAAGTCCTGCTATTCCCAGTGCAAGAACAAGTACGGCAATAACAATGAGAGTGATATAGCCTGCGCCCATACCAGTTTTTTTCTCTTCCTTTAATCCAGCTGAAGCAAAAGAAATTGAGAAAATTACCAACGCTATAAATTGAATGCTATTGTATAAAATTTGATCAGATCATTATAATACTGTCTCACAGCATGAGTGCAATCATATGCATGGAAATATAATCATTACAAAGGATTTACTGTGTTCTATACAGTTTAGGTAACTGTAGTTTATTTGTAATTTAGGATAAGTGACACAGAGAAAATTGCAGTCTTAATACATCCCATTTTGTAGAAATAATCTGTTTTCTTCTTGTTATGATCAATGAAGCTGTATTTGCCAAGCTGTAAAAAATACCCCAAACAATTACAAGGTATATTATGAGCTGTTTTATATCTAGTTAGACTATCTTTGAGAGCCAGTTTGATGTAGTAGTTAGGGCATCAGGAGACCATGAGTTCTAATCCTGTTTAGGCATAAAGCCATCTGATCTTGGACTAGTCATTGTTGCTCAGCCCTAGGAAAAAGGAAATTAAAAACTACATCTGAAAAATCTTGCCCCCAAAAAATGCAGGGACTTGTCTAGGAAGTTTCTGAGAATCAGACACAATGGAATGGAATGGGAGGGGAGGGGAGGGGAAGGGAAGGGAAGGAAAGGAAAGGAAAGGAAAGGGAAGGGAAGGGAAGGGAAGGAAAGGAAAGGAAAGGAAAGGAAAGGAAAGGAAAGGAAAGGAAAGGAACCCTAGCTACAAATATTCCAGAGTAGTTTATTTTGATTGGCAAGAGTTCCCCTAGTCACTAGGGGAAAAGAGATGTATTTATTTTATTCTACTACCCAGAGACTGCCTCTTTGGTGTTCTGCAGGAAGCTCATCTTCGCTGCTAGACTGATTCCAGTTTTTCTTTTGTACGTGTTCTGTAGTGTGAAATGAGCTGCTGCTACTGCTGCTAAGAGACCTAAAATGGACAGAGCCTCCTAGCAGAAAAACAAGGAACAAAAAACAAGAAAAGAAATCCTAACCTTAACCCTGAGATTGATAGAGGATAGATAGCATCATGAGAGTTTGACTAGTGGTGGGTACCTAGAAGTAAAATATTCCTTACATACGATTATCCCTCCATAGGTTGTTGAGGAAGAATACAACTACATTATTTTGCTGTTTTTTCAATATATGGTATATTGAAGCAGTGTTGAGTTCTGCCATGATTTTAGATAGCAGAAAAATGGGAGAGCATTCATTAATGACAATGTAGAACACTGGGCAACTTAACAGCATCTCTATACTACTAAAACTCCAGTTTGTCTGTGGTGTAAGCTTTAACTGGTTGAAATGGTGCTGCACAGGGCAATCATTTTTCAACCAAGGTATCTCAAATGGGCTAATTTAGAGAATACATCCAGAATCCAGAACCCAAAACTCCAATAGGATTGAAATTTGGCAAATTTTATAAAGAGTTTTATGATATAAAAATGATTATAAACATTGTATGATAAAATAATTCTAAGTGTCATAAAACAGTTTTTGTGGTCAACTCCTGATGTTTGACTGTGCTATACAGTACAACACGGTTATTTTCAAGGCATATACATCTCTGAATATCTCTCTGAATTTTTTTCCAGTGAAAAAGTACATTGATGTTAAGAGCTTTTCCAGGGAAGCAGTACAGTGAAGCTCTGCCATTGTTGAAGGCATTGAGGAATCTGGTAAGGAAATATCTCTGAAATGATGACCCAGTGTCACAGGCTGTCTCATTGTAGCTATGAATTCTAGCTACTAGATGCCTCTCACCAGAGAGCTTGGGTAAGGAAAAAGTGATGTCCTTGCTTTATTGGTATCAGATCTCACTTGGTGATGTGTGACACACACACACCCAGTGGTGGCATTCAAATAATTTAACAACTGGTTCATCCAGGGTCAGGGTTGGCTGTTGTGAGAGGCGTGGCCCATCCTCATCCTCCAGCTCCCTTTTTTTTTTTAGTCCCACAAATGTTTGTTTCCCTGCACACAATGGCAAGAAACCTGATAGAGAAACAGGACAATGCTGGAAATCAGGTAGGCAAAGAAATGCTTGGGGGAAGCAAAGGGCATCTGGGCACCAGGTGCTGAAATGGGCCCGATGGAGGGAAGGCTGGTATCTACCGGTATTTAAACATGGTGGCATTCCAGCTCTGGCTGGGAAGGGGAAGCACATGGGTGCTGTAGGCAGGATGCCAGCTTGCTTGAGCACCCTTCTCAACCCACTGGCGCTCCACTAACACTTTTTGCCTGAGTGACGTGATCGAAGGTTTCCATCGCTCCTCTCTCTTGAACTTTTGGGGAGGTTTTTTTTTTCCCCACCTGGAAGGAAGTTGAATGAAAACCAGATATGTTTTAGAAAACACAGATTTTCTGGAATACATCTAACCGCTTTGCAGAACTCAACAATAAATTAGGTGTTGGTTCTGCCGAACTGGTGCAACCGGCTGAATCCCTCCCACTGCCCCCCCTTGGGATTGGAGAAGAAATTAATTTAATCCACATTTGAATGCACATTTATTTATTTTCAGATTTTTAGCCAACATATCAAATGAAACAGGAAGCATCTGAAATTTGTAGTTTAAATTTTACAGTAACCTCATCAGTAACAACAGACATAAATGCTAGGCAAAAATCTGGATTAAAATGCCTACATACATAAAAAAATATGTTTTAAAAATCAGTATGGAAAATCATTTACAAAAACTGCACAAAATCATGAAGAAAATGTACAGTTCTGAGAAATGTGCAAGACATTTAAACATTTTAATGGAAACTTTTAGAGTAATTATTATATTCATCTAACCAAACACAACCCATTTGTAAAAATGAAAACAAACCAAATCACCCATATCTGCATTTCCAATGATGAGGCATTAAGAAGAACTAAGCCTGTCAGATTTGCCCATTCCTATAATACTGAGCTTTGGAGTAGAAAGGTTCTGGCTTCTCTTGGTTGGCTCCATGTATGGTTCCACTCACAGGGTGTCCATTTTCAACATTTCTCTGCTCTCTCTCAACGTTAAACTATTCATCTGGTGACTTCATACTGAAGCCCTGACTTACCACTGAATTTGCGAAGAGGACCCCAAGTTGTTTTTGGCGTGGCAATAATTTCACCTGATTTCCAAAAACGGAAACCCTGGCAATTCTGCAAGAATGAAACACATTTATGAAATACTTATTTTCAGAATAAATGTGCTATACATTATGATTATGACTACTAAATAATAAACCTCTTAGAGATCCTTTAAAAAACACTACTGCCATATAGTCAGATCACGTATATAAGTCAAATTATCAAGTTATAACTGAGAAGGCACTCTTAGATAGAATTTGGGGGTCTAGTGTATCATAGGATATAATAACTCCAATTTTGAGATAACTTACATCTCTGAGACAACCTATGGTTCCTAATACCAAAAGGAATAATATTCATAATCCTAATCTACCTATTGCAGTCACAGATTTAGGATACAACCCAAAATGCTAAATTCTCTATAGCTACTCTATATTCCCATAGAAGTCAGCAAGTTCTAAAAACTACAGCTCTCTATTTGCTTCAGTGACAGTATTCAAAGTATTTATAGCACTTTTGGCATTTTTAAGCATTTATGCATTAGAAGATTTGTTGCTGAGCATTTCTGTCGGAGATGGAAGCTTATTTACATTAGAATCTTAAGATGATCTTATATAAGATTGTTTAAGATTTTGATGTAGATAAACACCAAAATAGAAATAAAAGCAAATAGCATGTACAACACTTAATATTCTTTTTGCTAACTATTGCATTTCTAACTTTTGCTGAATAAATTTTCAGATTAAATTTATCAGTACTATTTTGTTTTGATTTTTGAAGCAGCACATTCTGGGTACAGATAAAACAATAATTCTGTTTCTTTTAAAATCATTTTGTTTTCCAACTGAGCAAGACTCCTTACCGCTCTGCAAGTGCTTTTAGGAGTTGCAATACAAATTTGGATTTTGCAATGTAAGTAAACCATTGAACCATTGAAAAATGAAAAGATGTTCAGTTTAAATCGGGCTCGGTTGGCTACCCCATTTACAATCATGCTGGTGTTTCTATTTGGAACTGGACAACTGAAAAAGAAAGCTCAATTAAACATTTGAAGAAGCATAGAATTTGAACTATATGGATTTACAGTTCTATTTATAATCAGACAAAAATGTGTTAATTTTCCAAAAAGAGAGTATCAAAATAATGCTATTCCATTTGCAGCTATTAAATGGCTGATAGTTCTCGTAATGATATTAAAACATTTCACTAGTCCATAAATCTCTTCTGTTTCATAGAGATCTGATGACATATAGGACAGGTATGAATCAACAAGTGACTTATATAACTTCAAATAAATATATAGTAGCATCATAACGTTTGAGCACACTTCATATTGTATACAATAAGAAGGGCAGGGAGACTGGAGACTGCAGCCATTATTCTCCCTCCCCTTCTTATTGCAGAAATAACCAACAAGCAGCTTCCCAAGTTGAGGTACTTTAGGCATTCAGCCAGTTGGGATTCAAAAAATTTAACAAGCAGTTCTCTGCCCTAATGACTGGCTGGGTAGGCGTGGCTGGGTGGTCATGTGACTGGGTGGGCATGGCCAACTCGACATCACTCAGCACACCTGGCCCCACCTCCCAGCCGCTCACCTCAAAGGCCTCAACAAGATACAATTTCCCTCTCTATTTATTTACTACTGCTGAACACCCAAAATACACTATTTAACCCTATGTACAGTATATATGCCATATGCGTACATACCTATTACATAGTATAGTGTGCATAGGCACACAAAAAGATAGTATACACATACACACACATACACAGAGCTCTTCTAAAACTATACACATTCAACCTCACTTACTGAGTTTGCAAAAACACATCCACAGTCCACTTTCTGCCATACATTTAACGATAACTTCTGCTCATTAGAATATTACACGCGCTTTCGGATTTACTTCCCTAGCTTGCACATGACCATTAGAGCCAGGAGATGCCATGGGCATTTCCAGGGAACTCTGGGCAACGAATGGGGTGTCAGCTGGCAGCGGCAGTGGGCAACCAAAAGTGCATGGCTGGCGACTATACAGCTGCTCTCCCTCTCACCTTAATGAAGCCAATGTCCTTGGTGTACTGACAGAAACACTGTCAACACATGTTGAGAGGCCGTAGTTGCCATCCATGCCAGCTGGAGGACATGCGGCTACAAGAGGAAGAGAGGCTGGGTGAACCAGACCCAGATGCTTCCCAGCTCCCCTCATCACAGAAGCACCAACCTCACACTCTCCCCCCTCTACAAGCAGCTACCCCCTTCTCCCTCTCTCTCCCTAATGCCAGGCAATCCTGTATTCCCTGCCACTGCCGCCACTGTTCCAGAGAGCGGAGGGTGGCTGGAGACCAGGCCCTGCCACAACCCTGACTGGGTGGAGAAGTAGGCGGATGGGAGAGGGGTGATCCAGGCAGTGCAACCTCACAGCCTCTGGCTGCCCCCATCTGCTGGCAGCCACGCCAAGCGAGGCCCAGCAGCCGCGGAGAGTCCGGGCAGGGATGAGATGCGGGCTGGGGGAGGGGCCGAGCAGCAGCAGCTTAACCTGGCTCATTTTCCTCTTTGCCACCAGCTGCGGGAGGAGGAGATTGGGGGGCACAGCCAGCTGGAAAAGCCGAATTGCTGCCCAATTCAGCCGGCAGGGGTGGATGAGGCTGGGATTGCAGGGCATGCCTGGCTTTACATTACCAGCTCTTTCTTTCTAATACTGCTCAAAAGAGAGAGGAGAGGAAGGCTCCCACCCAGCCCCTTTGTCCCTGTACATGTGAGACAGTAACTTACTAGGTGAGCAGTGAAGGCAGGCAAATGGGTGAGGAGCCAGAGAGCAGCTGAGCCGTGGGTATCACGTGGTAGGCCAGGAGTGAAGGCAGGCAAACGGACAAAGATCCAGAGAGCAACTGGACCATGGATACCGCATAGTAGGCTAGGGCTGAAGGCAGGCTAGCAGGCAAGAAGCCAGAGAGCAGATTGGCTGCAGGCACCTACCACACAGCAGCCGTGGCCCAGCTTCTCTCTGCTCCTTGCCCGCTTGCCTGCCTTCGCCCTTGACTACGATGTAGCGCATATGGCCCAACTGCTTTCCGACTCCTCGCCCGCTCGCCTACCTGGATGCTGCATGGTACAGGCAAGCGGCGAAGGCAGCAAAGCAAGCGAGGGAGCCAGAAAGCAGTCAGAGAGCAGCTGGGCTGCAGGCATAACTCTAGGCAAGCAGGCGAGGTGAGATAAGGAGAGGCTGGCAGGAGGGGTTGGGCAGGGCCAGCCGTGGTGGGATCAGCTGTTTCTCCAATCTGCACAAAACGTTAACAACTGGTTCACCTGAACTGGTGAGAGCCGGCTGAATCCCACCTCTGCATTCAGCCATTGGCCACCTGTCACAGCTACTCTCCTCTACCACCACATATAGAAAATTCCTTCACTGCTACCTCTGCTAACTGCTCACAATAGTGAAGTTTGTAATAACAAACCTGGCCACTGGTATAACATAATCCTGCATTTAATTCACTGAAAGTCTGCAGACATGTATGATAGAAAGAGGAATGGTTTTTCTAATCTATTTCCATTTCATTCCTACCCTAGTCCTACTTCTTCATATCTTCTATCTGATTGCTAAAATTATCTATATGGAATGATGGAACAGCTCAAAGCTCTAAAACCAGAAACCAAAAATTCTGAATGTATTCTGAAATGTTTCCCCATTTTATAAATATTATCTAAATAATTTTCATAACTAAGTAGATGAATATAATTAAAACAAATATACCTAGCAGTGAAGAGGCTGAAGCCAAGAAATAATGGCTTGGATCAACTAATAAATTAAAATGTCACCATTACAAACAAGAGTAGATTTATTTTGCTTGTGTTTCAAATTTAAGATTACAAAAGCTAAGGCCATTCTATAAATTTTTGCATTTATTATTCACCAGGTTTGTAATAACATCTTAATATATTGTGTATACTATACCCGCCGTGTATAAAATGAAGTGAATGAGGATCCATTGAGTTATTAGTTGGGGTTGCCCAACATTGGCTAGCAACCACCTTGAGTTTCTTGCTTCTTGTTTGAACTCCCACCTCAATGATTACATTATCACTTCCAGAGATGCTGAAATTGGGTGGAATTGGAGAATTGCCAATAAGCAATCGCATTTCTGTTAAGAAGTGTCCAGATCCATGTAAATCTTCAAAAATGGTATAAACTCTGAAAGGCAATAAGCCATTGTTAACATTGGTAGACTAGACTATGTCCTGTGTCTGCACAGTACCAGTATTATTTTCAGACACCACAAAATAATAATTTTCAATTTTAATTAAAATAATTGTTCAATTTTCAGCCAAGGAAATAGAAAGGATACCACTTTTTATTTATGCAATGTCTAGAAAAAATTTTTAAGACAGTTGCATGAATCTTAACAGAATATGAATGATTAAAATCAAAGATTGTTAGAAATTGATTATTATATTGGTGTCAACAAATTAAAAGCTTTTGTTTTTTTAAAATTCTATTTAACATTATTTTATTAGGAGTGTCTTACTATTTTTACTCCTTTCTATAAGGAAATTTCTTAGAAAGACATAATTTGACTGCAAATATTCATAAAATCTGAAATATTTTATATACCGTATTTTTCTGAATATAAGACTCTGAAGTATAAGACACACCTAGCTTTTGGGGAGGAAAACAAGAAAAAGAATCTGCCTCTGCCTCCCAGCAATTTGCCTCCTTGCAGCAAACAGCATCCTGTTTCAGTTTCAATACAGCCTGATTAGCACCAGCAGCTGATGGTTGGTTTTATCAGCCTACTGATGATCAGCTGTTTCAGGCTGCAGAGATTGTCACAGCCTGTTGTTGCTTCCGCATGCTCCATTTTTTGTGTCTGCATCCCTTTTTCAGCCTCTGCACGCCCCATTTTCAGCCTCCGTGCACCCCATTTTCTGCCCGCTCCAGGTGGCAGGGATCAGAACAGGTGGAAAATGGGGTGTTCAGAGGCAGACAATGGGGCATGCGGAGGCCAAAAATGAGATGCGGAGGCTGAAAATGGGGTGTGTGGAGGCGGCAATAGGTGATGGCAATCCCTGCAGAAACAGCTGATCGTCGGGAGGTCTATCCAATGACTATCAGTTGCTTGTACTAATCAGGCTGTGCGGAAGCTGAAATAGGCTATATGCTGTTTGCTGCAAGGAGGCAAATTGCTGGGAGGCAGAGGCCAAAGGATGGGGGCTGGCGGCTGGACGGGGCTTCGGCAACATTCATTGTATAAGATGCACAGACATTTCCACCCACTTTTGGGGATGGAAAAAGTGCATCTTATACTCCAAAAAATACGGTAAGTAAAGTAAGTTTACTCCATCTTGAAAATAGTAGTCGCAATAGCACTCAGGCTTATATACCTCTTCACAGTGTTTTACGACCCTCTCTAAGTGGTTTACAGAGCCAGCATGTTGCCCCCAACAATTTGAGTCCTCATTTTACTGACCTTGGAAGGATGGAAGGCCGAGTCAACCTTGAGTCTGATGGGTTGAATTGCTGGCAGTCAGCAGAATTAGCATGCGGTACTGCATTCTAACCACTGTGCCACCATGGCTCTTTTAGTAATTGGAAATATAACCCTAAGCCTGTAATTTCTTCCTATTACTACTTCCAGACATTAAATGTAAGTAGTATATGAAAAGATAAACATTGTAGTTGAGTTACTTGTATTTTGATAGTGTCTAAAATGAAGGTCAGCTCTGAATATCTCCCTCTCTTTTGCAGAAATTATCCTTTAAATTTTGTATTTTGGACTTCTGCTACAATTATTTGATGTCTACAATAATGTGGTTGGTTCTTATTTCCTAAAAAGTTACTTACCCTTCTGAAGTATGTCCAGATGAAATTAAGAGATCATTCTGAAAGATACAGTGAATTTGACTTGAAATCAGTATGTGGTGGATAATCCCATGGGAAGAATAATCATCGCGAAGAACAGTTCTTGCAACGGTGTGTGTGATATTCTGTAAAAGAAATGCAACAGAGAAAGATATATTGAATTTGTTTTTGTTTTTTTTAGTTTAAAAGATAGCAAACAGGATTGGGAAAAAGTAGATATGTGTAGGCTGGGCTATAATGTAAGCAAAACAGTAAAATGAAGAACCATGAAGAACCTGCTGATTATACAAGGATTCTATTTTATTCATTGAGTTAATCTATTCATAATTAGTTTATTTCAGGTGAGGAATCTAACATGTAGAAGATCCTTGGAAAAAATAAGAATTATATTACCGTAACAGAAAAGAATGAGAAATACATTTCAGAAACCATTTCTGTTTAAACTGTGAATCAAAGCCCCAAATCCTGCCCATCATGTAGTCTTTATGGGTAGCATATGCATATTTTTTTAAAAAAAGAAGTCTTATTAAGAAAGTAAAATGTAATACTGTATTCAGCATTAATAATTCCAAAAACCTTATACTAATTATTTCAAGTTACCTATTCTTAACGTTTGATTAGAACTTATTTAATTTATTGTTGAGTAAGAGACTTACAGTTTGTATTTCAGTTTCGCATTCATTCCAGTCTGTCTGAAGAACAACATGGCTAGAATTACTGGAGGATACGTTGCAGCGAGGATGCCCTAGGTACAAGGAAGTTTCTGGGATAGATTGCTTGTACAGAAAGTCCTTCTTAATAGAGATGACAATTTTTTCAAACTCACACAGTACTCGAACTGCCTCCTTAACTGAACCAGCAGCAGAACTGTTAATCGAGGGCAAGTTCTGAGGTAAATAGTTAATGTTTGTTGTTTGACTTATATTTTTCTTATTATTTGTAGTGTTGACAGTTGCATTCTCCAAGCTTCTGCCGCTACTAATAGAAAAATTGTCTTTGGCAGATGAAGGCATGGGGTCTGAAGTATACAGATAGGTCAAGGGTAAAGCTGTGCTGCTCGATTCCTTTGACTGTTCATCTCCAGAACTAATGCTTGAAGAAAATACTATAAAGTAGAGAAAAGTTTGTATTATACAACTCATTTTTCCCCACAAGGAATTACAGTAAATACAACTTTGAGATCTATCCTTCAAGAAGCCTTCCCGTTTGGAAATCATTTGTATGCACTCCAAAACCACCCTCTCCCTCCTCCACTCTGTCTTTCCTATCTGCAGAGCAAAAGTGCTTGCAGCATAGCATTATCAGCAAGTTTGTAGGTTTGGAGCTCACAGAGTGCGGACTCAGCCAACTATTGCTCAGTCTGAACTAGCTGAACACAGAGAATGCCAGCCAATGGATACTCACTGTCTCAGCTTCAAACTCGCCCATTCTGTAAATTAACAAAAAAAAACAAAAACCTCTCTTTTTTCATAAAATGATTTTCTCTTCCAAATCCCCCAATTTATTCAGACTTCATGCATTTAGAAATGTGTGTGTTTCTACATTTGTTTGTTGGTCTACAAATATGAACCCCAATTCCAAGCATAGCTATTTTTCAAAGCAATGGGAGCTTTACTGACAACTCTAAAAGAATCTTCCTCTCTCAATGATGTCAGATCAACCTTGCAAGTGAAATGTGTTTTTCTAACAAATTTTGAGAATGTTACAAAACTGTAAACTTTCATGCTGGATTTATGAGAGGTCATTCCCAAGGTGGAGTGAATAAAATTTGAAGTGAGGCTGATAAAAGCACCTTATCTAATGAGAAAAATAAACCACTTGAAATAGTAATAGCACTTAGACTTATATACCACTTCACAGTGCTTTACAGCCCTCTCTACGTGGTTTACAAAGTCAGCATGTTGCCCCCAGCAATCTGGGTCCTCATTTTACCAACCTCAGAAGGATGGAAGGCTGAGGCAACCTTGAGCCGGTGAGAATCGAACTGCAGAACTGCTAGCAGCAGGCAGGCAGCAGAATTAGCTTGCAATACTGCATTCTACTCCTTCATGGATTACTGCCTTGTCATGGCGAAGGGGCTTGCGTAGCTCAATGAAGCTATGAGCTATGCCATGCAGGGCCACCCAAGATGGACAGGTCATAGCAGAGAGCTCTGACAAAATGTGATCCACTGGAGAAGGAAATGGCAACCCACTCCAGTATCTTTGCCAGGAAAACCCCATGGACAGTACCAAAAGGCAAAAAGATATGACACTGGAGGATGAGCCCCTCAGGTCAGAAGGTGTCCAATATGCTACTGGGGAAGAACAGAGGGATACTACTAATAGCGCCAGAAAGAGTGAAGCAATTGGGCCAAAGCTGAATGGACACTCAGCTGTGGATGCATCTGGTGGTGAAAGGAAAGTCCAATGCTGTAAAGATCTATACTCCATAGGAACCTGGAATGTAAGATCCATGAATCAAGGCAAGCTGGATGTGATCAAACAAGAGATGACAAGACTGAACATTGACACCTTAGGAATCAGTGAACTAAAATGGAAAGAATGGGTGAATTTAATTCAGATGACCATCAAGTATACTACTGCGGGCAAGAATCCCTCAGAAGAAATGGAGTAGCCTTCATAGTCAATAAAAGAGTAGGAAAAGCAATACTGGGATACAATCCCCCAAATGACAGAATGATCTCAGTTTGAATCCAAGGCAAACCATTCAATATCACAGTAGTCCAGGTCTATGCCCCAACCACTGGTGTTGAAGAGGATGAAGTTGATTGGTTCTATGAAGCCCTAAAGCACCTTATAGAATTAATACTAAAAAATGATGTCCTTGTGGGGGATTGGAATGCTAAAGTAGGAAGTCAAAAGATAACCAGAATAACAGGCAAGTTTGGCCTTGAAGTATAAAATGAAGGAAGGCACAGGCTGATAGAATTTTGTCAAGAGAATATGATGGTCATAGCAAACACTCTTTTCCAACAACCCAAGAGATGACTCTACACTACAGTCACTTATCTCCACAACCCCCATCTCAAACACACCAACAACAGCCAACCCTCCTACAACTGACCCCAACCCATTGGATTCACAACCTCTGGTGGTCGCAGAAAAAGAAGTGCAATATCTATTTCACAGACAAAAGCCAGGAAAAGCACCAGGGCCAGACAAGATAACACCTTCTTGCCTAAAAGTCTGTGCTGACCAATTGGCCCCCAACTTCACCCGAATCTTCACTAGAGATGTGCTATGAAGCCAGAAGGGCTTCAAATGCTCTACTATCATCCCAGTGCTGAAGAAGCCCTCCATCAAGGAACTGAATGACTACAGACCAGTTGCTCTAACATCTGTAGTTATGAAAACCTTTGAAAGGCTAGTGCTGTCCCACCTGAAAACCATCATGGATCCACTGTTAGATCCCATGCAGTTTGCATACCGAGGAAATAGATTGACAGATGATGCTGTTAATATAGCTCTGCACTACATCCTACAACACCTTGAATCTACAAATACCTACACAAGGATCCTCTTTGTATTCAATACCATCATTCCAGACATTCTTCTAACTAAACTAAACCAGCTAGTGGTACCTGAACACACTTGTAAGTGGATCATAAGCTTCCTAAGAGACAGGAAGCAGCAGGTGAAGCTAGGCAGAATCACATCTAATACCTGCACAAGGCTGTGTGCTCTCTCCACTTCTCTTCTCCCTATATACCAATGACTCCATCTCAAATGATCCATCTGTTAAAATACTGAAGTTTGCAGATGATACAACAGTGATTGGTCTCATTCTTGACGCTTGACGAATGTATCTTTTCTTTTATGTACACAGAGTATTAGGCCACTCAGGTATGAACTAAATCATATACCTGATGAATATACAGTAGAGGTGACAAATAGATTTAAGGAATTAGATGTGATAGACAGAGTGCCTGAAGAACTATGGATGGAGGTTCGCAACATTGTACAAGAGGTAGCAACTAAAACTATCCCACAGAAAAAGAAATGCAAGAAAGCAAAATGGCTGTCTAAGGAAGCTTTGCAAATAGCTGAGGAAAGAAGGGAAGCGAAAGGCAAGGAAGAAAGAGAAAGATACACCCAATTGACCTCAGAATTCCAGAGAATAGCTAGAAGAGATAAGATGGTCAAATGGTCAAAATTGGGAGCGTCCTATCAAATTCTGTACCTGTCAACAGTGGTGTCCCCCAAGGCAGTGTTCTAGGACCAACTCTTTTCATATTCTACATAAATGACCTCTGTGATTATATCAAGAGCAACTGCATTCTCTTCGCTGACGATGTAAAGCTATTCAACACCACAGACAATACTGCTACCCTTCAAAAAGACCTTGACTGTGTATCAGAATGGTCAAACAAATGGCAACTTCAAATCTCAACAAATAAATGCTCTGTCTTACATATTGGCAAAAAAAATCAGAAAATAAAATACAGGCTGAATAGTCAAGACCTTGTTGATGATCCAAACTCTGTCAAGGATCTTGGAATACTCATCTCTAATGACCTAAGTGCTAGAGCCCACTGTAACTACATAGCCAAAAAGGCGTTAAGAGTTGTTAACCTAATCTTACGTTACTTTTTCTCTGGTAATATTACACTAATAACTAGAGCATACAAATCATTTGCTAGACCAATACTGGAATACAGCTCATCAGTCTGGAACCCACATTACGTATCTCATATTAACACAGTTGAGAAAGTCCAGAAATATTTCACAAGAAGAGTTCTCCACTCCTCTACTCGTTGCAGAATACCTTATGCCACCAAACTCAAAATTCTAGACCTAGAAAACCTAGAACTACGCCATCTTCGTTCTGATCTAAGTATAGTATATAAAATCATACATTGCAATGTCCTACCTGTCAATGAATACTTCAGCTTCAACCATAGCAACACAAGAGCAAACAATAGATACAAACTCAAGGTTAATCGCACCAAACTTGATTGCAGGAAATACGACTTCAGCAACAGAGTAGTCAATGTCTGGAATACTCTACTTGACTCTGTGGTTTCTTCCCCAAACCCCAAAAACTTTAACCTTAGACTGTCTACTATTGACCTCACCCCTTTCCTAAGAGGTCTGTAGGGGACGTGCATAAGCGCACCAACGTGCCTACCGTCCCTGTCCTATTGTTTCTTTTATTTTTATATTTTATTTTTCTTATATGTATCCATGTATTCATAACTATGTTTTACTTATACCTATTATCTTGTAAGCAATTGACAAAAATAAATAAATAAAATAAAAAATAAATGCCTTCTTAAATGAACAGTGCAAAGAAATAGAAGAAAACAATAGAATAGGGAGGACCAGAGATCTCTTCAAGAAAATTGGAGATATGAAGGGAAAGTTTTATGCAAAGATGGGCATGATAAAGGACTAAAATGGCAGGGACCTAACAGAGGCAGAAGAGATCAAGAAGAGGTGGCAAAATTACACAGAAGAACTACACAAGAACAAGCTTAACATCCTTGATAACCACGATGGGGTGTTCACTGATCTCAAGCCAGACATCGTAGAATCTGATCAAATGGGCCTTAGGAAATCTGAGCAACAACAAAGCTAGTGGAGGTGACAGTATTCCAGATGAGCTATTCAAAATCTTAAAAGACGATGCAGTAAAAGTGCTACACTCAATTTGCCGGCAAATTTGGAAAACTCAACAGTGGCCACAAGAATGGAAAAGGTCAGTTTACATTCCAATTCCAAAGAAAGGTAATGCCAAAGAATGTTCAAACTATTGCACCACTGCACTTATTTCACATGCTAGTAAAGTTATGCTCAAAATCCTACAAGCTAGGCTCCAGCAGTATGTGGACCGAGAACTACCAGAAGTACAGGCAGGATTTTGAAGAGGCAGAGGAACTAGAATTCAAATTGCCAACATATGCTGGATCATGGAGAAAGCTAGAGAGTTCCAGAAAAAACACCTTCTTCTGCTTCAGTGATTATGCTAAAGCCTTTGATTATGTGGATCACAACAAATTGTGGCAAGTCCTTAAAGAGATGGGAGTACCAGACAGATTTTATTTTCCTGGGCTCCAAGATCACTGCAGATGGGGACTACAGCCAAGAAATTAAAAGACGCTTGCTCCTGGGGAGGAAAGCTATGGCAAATCTAGACAGCATACTAAAAAGCAGAGACATCACCCTGCCAACAAAAGTCTGTATAGTCAAGGCTATGGTTTTCCCAGTCGCAATGTATTGCTGTGAAAATTGGACCATAATAAGAAAGGCTGAGTGCCAAAGAATTGAGGCCTTTGAACTATGGTGCTGGAGAAGACTTCTGTGAGTCCCTTGGACTGCAAGGCGATCAAATCGGTCAGTCCTAGAGGAGATCAACCCTGACTGCTCTTTAGAAGGCCAGATCCTGAAGATGAAACTCAAATACTTTGGCCACCTAATGAGAAGGAAGAACTCTCTGGAGAAGAGCCTAATGCTGAGAAAGAATGAGGATAAAAGAAGAAGGGGATGATAGAGAATGAGGTGGCTGGATGGAATCACTGAAGCAGTCAGTAGGCATGAGCTTAAATGGACTCTGGAAGATGGTAGAGAACAGGAAGGCCTGGAGGAATGTTGTCCATGAGGTCACGATGGGTCGGACACAACTTCGCAACTAATAACAACAACTGCATTCTAACCACTATGCCACCACAGCTCTTATACCTAATCAATTCACTGTGGTGTGTTTTATATGTTTCTAAAGTATTACTTTAATTACTTGAAAGGGATGAAGAGCTAGAGTTTTTTTAAAAAAAATCTACTCAAGCTTCATTCAAGGAGGATACTTAGTCAGCATTTTACGTTATAGCAGTAAGATGTCTAATATATTTTATCATTTACCATTTAATTACTTCGGTAGCATTGTTATAATGTTAGAAACTCTGCAGATCATTCTTGAAAAGGAATACTGATTCTATTAATTTATATAATTACATGTACCTTAGGTGTATGTTTGCTTACAGCTTTCTTTGATAAAGGAATGAATTGAACCCCTTCCAGGTTGGGAATAAATACAAGCATCCAATATAAACTGTGTGTGTGTGTGTGTGTGTGTGTGTGTGTGTGTATTTATAAACATAGGCCTAATGTTGCTCAGCAGGCCACCATCGAAACTCAAACAAAACCTAACCTCCCCCTTCCTCTTCTTTTTCCTTCTCAAGAGAAACTGGGAGCCTAGTTAGAAGATAGACCTACCATACATCTGCAGCCCCCTCAACACCATTCAGTTCCTATGTCAGTTTTATCCAAGTACCAATGTAAGATAATTCTTAGCTTTACCACCATCTCAAAAAGTTTTCTTTATCAGTCGGCTGCAATCTGCTTTTATTTTCCTGGGAAGGAGGATGACACTAAAGAAGAGCACATCATCCTCTAACCCAACCTTCCCCAGTCTTAGTCTCTGGCTGATATGTGGATTCCAAGTTCTAGGGTTCTCACTAATGGCTCTTGTGGGTGGCATCCAATGGCTCCCAGATGCCACCCACAACTTTCCTTCCCAAGAAGAGCCGTGTCAGGTTTAAAGGCATCCTTAGTGATCAGTTGTGGAGGAATCTGAAAGTCGGTTCTTCATTAGAAAAGATTTGTGGCTACCTCAATATTGATAGCCAAATCAAGGTGGAGAAACCACAGGTGTTAGAATGGCCTTTTTCAGAGGTAGGTTCAGGGGTGGGGTGCTACCGGTTCTGCCCGGCTCTATAGAACCGGTAGCTCTGAAGAGCAGCAGACACCGAATCGGTTCTGTGTTTGCTGATGTTTGGCCCACCCGCCCACCCGGGCTCTTACCTGTCCTTTATTTCCTGCTTTTTCAAGCACAGCTGCTTTGCGCAGCACAGCTGAGGTTGAAAAAGGTGGCTTTTCAAATGCTGCACACTCACACGCAGCGCTTGTCAGCTGTCCAGGTAGCACAGCTTAAGGTTTTTTTACATGCGCTCACAATGCACATCAGACGCACGTGCGTCCAAAGCACGCATGCACGTGCAAAACGTCACCAAACCGGTAGTAACACTGGTTGAATCCCACCCCTGGACAGGTTCAAGTGACTGGACTTTGCCCACTCTATCAACAAGAACTTCCAAGAGTGTATGTTAATCCTTTTCATGGGGACCACAAGTGTGAAGTAACAATTCCATGGCAATAAGAATAGCAGAGTTGGAAGAAAATGAAAATAAATATTGAAACCTTGCCTTCACAGTTTCTCCCAGGTCTCTCAGCATTTACACTGACAAATCCTTCTTTGCATTTGCATTCATAAGACCCATAAATATTGTAACAGGTTGCATTAGGAGAACAATCTGTTTCCTCTCTCTCACATTCATTGTTATCTGTTTTTTAAAAATATAATAAAAGAGAGCACATAATACATGAGTTTGTGATTATTATTTAGCATGCTGGCAATACTTTAATATTTCTATATACTTGTTATAAAATATCAATACATTTGTTCTTCTGAATGAACATCGTTCTAATACCACCCTACTAACTATGATTCATAATTAGAATATCATTTTGGAATTCCACTGTCCTTAGAGAATATTGGTCTGAGTTTTAACTGCTTATTAAATTAGTCTATGAAATTAAAAGAAACTATTATTTACCGTATATGGAAAGACTGCTATTATCGACCTCGAAAAGGCTGCTGTTTCGAAAAGCTTCAAGAAGATACCCAGCAACATTCCTTGCGTCCATGTCTATTGGAATCAGGAGGCTGAAGTTGACCACAATGCTTCCTGGGATAATACTTACTATTGAAATGTTAATCATACCAGCATCCATTTTTTGAAGAATATTAGGAGGCAAATATGTTCGGACCTGTTACCAAAACAGAGTCATGCATTTGTGTATGTATTTGTTCTGAAAATTATTTTGATTGCATGGTTTGAAGTATGGCATACAGAAAATTTAAAAATTATTTGTTTGTTTGTTTGTTTCCCATTTTTATATTTATGTAAATAACTCAAGGTGGCAAACATATCCACACACCTGCCTCCTCCTATTTTCCCCACAACAGCCCTGTGAGGTGAGTTGGGCTAAGAGAGAGCCTAGCCAAAGATCACCCAACTGGCTTTCATGCCTAAGGCAGAACTAGGTTCCCTACTTTCTAGTCTGGTGCCTAAACTTGACCAAACTGACTTACTTATTTACCATACCTAGACATGCCTAGGAAGGAAAACAATATACAAATGTAGGACATATAAAGAATATGTTTAATATACAAAGATAGGACATATAAAGAATATGTCCTACATTTGTATTTTAAACAGTCTCTTCAAGTAAAAAATTGATTTCCCCCACAACTGAAAAACCAGTAGGCCAGGGATGGGGAACCTTTTCTGGCTCACTCAGGAATTCTGGGAGTTGAAGTCCATAAGTGATAGAAGAGCCAAGTTTCCCTACCCCTGGGCTAGAGGAATGGAAAAATGTCAGCCCTTCAAGATAGAACAGATCAAGAAACCAAACCAAAGATGGTATCTCAGCACTTGACTGCTTTGAAACTCAATGAATTTGGTACTCTACACATTTTGATTTCAAAATGTCCCGGTACTCATTTATTTGTTACTTAACACATAAGCTAGAACTTGTTGGTATCAATTGTCTCATGACTAATAGATTATTCCTTATGGGAAAAATTTGTTTGGTACTCATCATTTTTGGTACTTGTTGCACCTCTCAGAACCAATTAACAACGAGTACCAAGATACCACTGTAACAACAGAATATTGTAAGTCTGAAACTTTTTCACCCTTCATTCTCTTTATGTTCATGAGAACTAGGGAGGATCTTTTCTGAGATGCTCAGTTGGGTTGCAGCTGTGACCCAAGCTCAGATTTCTTTTATCTGACCATTCTGTTGTTTGCAGCTCTTTCTCCTTGTTCCTCAAGGTTATTCCTGTTTCTCAGTACAAGAAATTCTGTTGCAGTAATGATTGTTCTTGAATGATGGAATAATTATTCTGCTTTTCTGTTAAATCTTTAAGAATGTGAAATGGCTGTTTTGTTCTCCCCCCAAAAATGTTCCAGTTTCTTCCTCTATATTAAGGAATTCTGTTAATACATGTGGGAGAAAGTTATGCCCGCTAGTCCTACCTCCTGGCTTTTGTTTTACACATATACACTATGTGGAGTCTGTAAGCAACTGTTCGGACTGCCATTCCCAAGTAGCCAACTGGGAATTTGGGAGTGGAAACAGCTCATTCTTATCCAACTGGCTGAATGGAAATAAAGCAAATCCAAACAATTTATTCTGGCAATGTGGGCAATTAGTATTATTCGCCATTTTTCTTCATCCAGTCAGTGAATATGTGGGTTTGAAGCTCAGAACAAAGTTCAACTTATTATTATATTAGTTCTGTAATTTTTATCCCTTATTTCAGATTTGCAAGTTGCAACTTAAGGTTACATCGCCATAGAATTACTAGTCCATATTATGGAATAATCATGGGACATGATGGACCCTCTATCCTAGATCATACTCGATAAAATAAATATCTGTTTGTGTCCATTATAAGCTGTCTATTTTTAAAAAAGACATCACCATCATCATCATCATCATCCTCTTACTTCATTAAGAAACATCTTTGAAAAATTTTGGTGCTTTTCACTTCTTGAGTTGCTGAACTCTGAGCTGTAGTTCAGATTCATTATCCTAACCACCCCATTAAACTTCTGGGCAGCTGCAAGATATGAGAAGGTGACCAAAGTTAGACAAACATTGTTAGTTAAAATACAAGTAATCCAGAGGTGGTATTCAGCAGGTTCTGACCAGTTCTGGACAATCGGTAGCAGAAATTTTGAGTAATTCAGAGAACCAGCAAATACCACCTCTGACTGGAGATTTCACAGTATCCTTCCCCTACCACGCCCACAGAACCGGTAGTAAAAAAAAATTGAATCCCACCACTGAAGTAATCTGTGGGCAGGTTATAGACATCAAATGCATTATGCCAACTCACTTTTGAAATGTGGAAAATCAAAAGAATATCTTAAAAGCAACTGAAAAGAAGCAACTTTACATTTAGAGACACAAGTAATATTTACATCTAAGTGTTTTGTATCTACGATCAAAGATTTGCAGAACAGTTTTTGCTCTTTTGAACAAATAAAATAATTGTGAAAACAACATAGTGATGAAGATTAATATATCACATTCATCATTTACTATATTATATTACAAATATTAGCAAACTAAATAAAATAGTCTGAATTAGTAGCTAACAATATTTATCATACACAATATGTTTTTTTTAAAAAATAGAAATAAAACAAAAAAAGAACCCCAAAGTCCTCTTTTTTCATCCCTTTATTACCACTTGTTAAAAAGAAATGTAATTGTTAATGATTAGCATATATCAACAATTACTACTGCAAATATGATATAATATTTATAACACAACTATTATGTTATTTTCTAACTATTTTGGATATTCACCCACCCCCTGCTTACAAGGAATCAATAATTTTGATTACTTTCTTGATAAGTAATCAAAGTAAGATAAGTAAGATAAATTTTGATTACTTTCTTGATAAATATAATCAAGGGGAACATTTTCACAAGCTGCAATCACTCTAAACTTGATTCTGTAAATAGGGAGGATATTTGGAAAGAGAATAGCATGCTAGTATACTAGACATCTGATGTTACTAAATGTCTGTCCCTATTTATTTAGACTAAACTGGAAAGATAATACTTTATGTTATGGACTTTTGCAGTAGTAGATACACACTATGATATTTTATGTGCTTTACCTGTCTTTACTTTACGCCGCATGGTTTCACTTTCATTTCCATAAAGGTCTGGCTTTATTTTAACAGTGTACAAAGTTCCTGGTTTTAGGTCAGAAATATTCAGATGACTGCTTTGGGTTTTAGTCTCCTTTATCAGCTGTTCCTCCTCAAAGAGCAGAAAATGGAAAGTAGTATTTGCTGGAAAATGTGTAATCCAGGAAATCTGAAAGCTAGTATTAGTCACATTGGAAAAAAATATTCTTTCAGCTGGAAATGGTGCTGAAAAGACAAAATGAAACAACTGAATCCATTCTTAGAATTATCTATCACATTTGTTTTATGAACAATTTGATCATTTATTAAAAAGAATCTTTGTTAGTGTGGAAACCTGTTGCTTGGATTTCTTTTTTCTCAGCCCCAATTAGAGAATGGGTTTATCGAGGTCCCTAATCCTGAGTCTATGGACTGGTCTGTTGGGAACTGAGTTGTGCAAGTGGTGGGTGAGCGCATGAAACTTCATTCACACATGCGCAGGATCTAGGTTGTGCATGCAAAATCACTCACCCACCACCACCGCCACTACTGCCATTGCGATCGCCATTGCTGCAGCCAGCCTCTGGGGCCAGAAAGGTTGGGGACATTTGCCTTAGATGATACCTATCTGGTTAATCTTTGGACAAGACTAAAAAAGAATCTAAATAACAAGTGATACCATTTTGGAAGAATAGTTAATCGTATGATAACTTTTCTTCCATTATGACCCTGCTCATGTAGTTAGTTCCAAGGCAAACAGCATTCTGTGCAAATAATGAAAACTTATTTTAGTGGCCTAGCTGCTAAGATGCTGGGCTTGTTGACTAGAAAGTTGGCGATTCGAGACCCAAGCACTATGTGACAGGGTGAGCTCCTGTTCCTGATCCAGCTCCTGCCATCCTAGCAGTTCAAAAGCATGCAATTGCAAGTAGAAAAGTAGGTACCACTCTGATGGGAAGGTAACAGCATTCTGTGCACTTCCACATATAGTCACGTTGGCCACATGACCACAGAAGCATCTTTGGACAATGCTGACTTCCTCAGCTAGGAAACGGAGATGAGCACAGCCCCCTAGAGTCAAACACAACTGGACAGAGGAAACCTTGATCTTTTTAATTTGCAAACAAGGGAACTGGTTGGGCTAGATATTTGTTTAAATCCCACAAAAATATTAAAACTTAAGTGTTCTCTTTTTTTCTTATTTCTTTAAATGGAACCATTCCTCTGGCTTGTTACCACTAGCATCCATTTTCTAAACCCCACTGCCTTTCCCATTGTAATAACCTATTACCTTTAAAGTCAATGCTAAAATATGCCCCTGTGACAGAGCTGAGGTTGAAACCGTGGAGCATGTCCTTTTATATTGCCCTATGTATAACGCAGGCAGATCTAAGTTACTGTCTCTCCTTGAAACAGACCCTTCTAGACCCAACGTTAGTAATTTGTTCTTATATTGTCTAGGGGATGGCTCCTCATACATCACTTCTCAGGTTTCCAAAAAAAATTTTTAAGAGCTGTAACCATCAGAGGAGAATGCTGTAATTCCCCTTAGTCAGGTTTTTGGTAACCAATTGTTCATGATTAATTTTCCCATGTTCTTCTTTTATTGTACTTGTGTTTTGGTCTGTGACCGCAAATAAAGTATTATTATTAATGCTAAAATAAAGATATACTCACCACTCAAATCTGTAGCAAGGGAGACTGTCATATTCTCCTTGAAAGAAGATGGTGATGCTGTACTGTTTCTTTCATTAGACCAAGAACTGTTATTTTCCCCCATGTGCCTATCAAGGGTATGGTTCAAAGAATGAAATTTGGGGTTTTCAGTTACATTCAGGGCTATAACATTCTCATAACTTCTTTCAGTTGAGGAGCCAGGTGTGCTAGTCTCTACCGTAGATTCATTTCTCTTCCATGAGGTCATTGAAGAGCTTTGCGGATCTTGGGTAGTCCATTTCTCTTCAGCTACAGTTCCATTTGAGTTTGTTACGTTACCTGACCATTTTGGAGCCAAAGTAACTGTTTCTGAGCTGTTTAAGATGCTCTCCTTCCTGAAATTCCCTAATATGTTCATCTTCTGAGATGTCGACAATGTCTTCTCTGCTGGAAGGGTGCTTGACTCCTGAATGCCACTAGAGGGCAGCACTGCTGCTTCAGTATACTTCTTGAAAGATGACACTTCCTGTATTCCCGCCATTGAGAAAGCTGCGGTAGTTGTATAATCAGCTACATTTAATCCCTGTGTAGTAACAGGATCCACAATTTCACCTGAGTGCAACATTTTGTACAGAATAAGTATAATTGTAATATCAAAGAGTGATATTTCCTTTCATTTATACATGAACAAAATGTTAAGTTAGCTGAAATGAATTAATTATACAAATGAAACAGCAGCTAGCTCTGTCCATGCACTACTCAACGTAAGTAGGCTCCAAGCTCTACTGTAAGTAATGCAGGCCCCATGTTGCACCTCCTTATTTAGTTGTACTACTCAAACTTCACCTGTTGAGAAGATTCAAAGGGAACTAAACAAGAACATTCAGGGGAGGTGGGAGCTACAACTACACAATCAAATTCTTGCCCCTTTCTTACATGTGACATGTATGCAACACATGTGGGACTTTACTGCATAGTTGCAGCCAAAAAATCTCCCCACAGCCAGATGTATAGAGCATTCTCTATAGCAATGGCAATAGCATTAGACTTATAGACCACTCTACAGAGCCCTCTCTAAGTGGTTTATGATTTACAGAGTCAGCCTATTGCCCCCAACAATCTGGGTCCTCATTTTACCCACCTCATAAGGATGGAAGGCTGAGTCAACCTTGAGCCTGGTGAGATTTGAACTACCAAATTGCAAGCAGCTGGCAGTCAGCAGAAGTAGCCTGCAGTACTGCACTCTAACCACTGCGTCACCGTGGCTCATTATGTCACGAGTGTCAAATTTGCTGCATCACATTGCCATCATATGACGTTTCATGATGTTTCTCCAATTTGTGGAGCTGGGGTGGGCGTGGCCTGCATGTGACGCATCCGGCCCACGGGCTGCCAGTTTGACACCCCCTCCTCTATGTGATTGGGATCTCGGAGTGTATCAGACTCCTAATCAAACAAAATCAGATTATTTTCAGAATTGCCTTTCCTGCTATGAAGCTGCTTAGTTATTTAGTTCCTTAGGAGAGACTTTTTTTGAAGATGCTTGATTCTCAGGCATGGTGAAATGGGCCTTCTCCTATGTGGCTTCAAGTCTGCAACCCATGCTCCTTAAGGACATGTGCTTTATCATCTCTTCTTGAATATCAAAGAAGGTGACAAAAATATATCTCTTTTACCAAGCTTTACATTATTTATTATTTTAAATGCTTATTTTAATTCTGGTTTTGATTTTAACTATATTAACTTGTTATTTTTTTACAAAAATTATTGTTCACCCCCTTGAATGTTGGAAAAAGCAGTATAATAAATTTAATAATTGATTTTGAAAAATAATAAAATCAAAGAACCCTCACAGGGATAAGAAGACACTTTCTTAATTCATGGGAATAAACAAATCCTCCATCAAAGTATAAACCTATTTTTTTACCTTCACAGTTTCTGCCTGGTCGGGCTGGATTGGCGTCTGTAGCTGTCTTGCACCTGCATCTATATGAACCCACCGTATTTATACACTCTGCAGACATACTGCAATCATTTTCTGCTCTATATGCACACTCATCCCAATCTGAAGTTCAAAAACCAACATTCAAGAAAACAAAGTTTAGGTTAAATTGGATGATAACAAGTAGCAAAGCATAAGCTCTTACTTTTATAATCCTCAGGAAATCCAGTATCTTTGTCTCTGCAATTGTGATTGCCAAGTTATCAAGAATATTTTTCAAATACATTTTTTAAATTTTTTTGTCCACCTTTGAAAAAGTGTGCAGCATCTTGAAAATCTAAATCTAACCTTAGGAAACATCAAATATATTCACTGCTTTTGGAGGTTAGGGTTTCCATTTTTTTCCAAGGCTAAAATAAGACAGGGAATTTTCCAGGCTATTCTTGGTCTTTATGAGAATCCACAGAAAATGAACACACATCTATATCCTACCTCAGCTCAAAGGTGGTATTCAGCAGGTTCTGACCAGTTCTGGAAAACCGGTAGCGGAAAATTTGAGTAGTTCGGAGAATCAGCAAATACCACCTCTGACTGGCCCCACCCCCACCTATTCTCTGCCTCCCAAGTCCCAGCTGATCGGCTGGGACTTCTTTTGTTGCCCTGCACAGGAGAACAGAGCTGGAAAGCAGGTTAGTAGGGTGGGGAGGGAATGGGATTTTGCAGTAACCTTCCCCCAAGAGTGGGGATGGAATCGGGATTTTGCAGTATCCTTCCCCTGCCATGCCCACCAAGCCATGCCCCCAGAACCAGTAGTAAAAATTTTTGAATCCCAGCACTGCTTCAGCTGTTATGTGCAGGTGCTTCCACTGTGATATTAGTTTTGGAATTACTCACAATATGTCCAAAACTGGCACAACTAATATCACAATCCAGACTTTGCATCCTTTTTTTAAAAGGTGATGCCAAATAAGTGAAAGACACATATTTCAGCTAGTTACAAAGAGTAAAATACATCTGTGGAAATTTTGATGCTTTTGTTAACTGGGAGTCAAAATTTCCTGTTTTAGATGCAGATATTAATTCAATACCAGCATTTCATGATTCTTTGCCTATGCTACACTTTGAGAGCTAAAGATTTTTTGATATTGTAACAGAGACCTTATTAGATAGTATTATCACAAATACTTGTACAAATTTGCTCTTGATTTTTCCATTGGAGAAATCCTCATTTTACAGGTTAAAAGTTTTGAACCATTGAATAACACATAGCAGGTTAGATAAATTATTTAAACAGGATTCATGAATGTCACACAATTGCACTGATTTCTCTGGAGAACTAGTTAGGTAATTAAAAAAGAAAGAAAAGGAAGACAGATTGATAGCTTATTACCCAAATCATTGTGTTTAGGAGGCATCCACTTCAATGCCATAATACCAGGGTAGACAGCTGCAGGATTGGATTGGATTGGATTGAATACTTTATTTGGCCAGGTGTAGTTAGAAACACAAAGAATTTGTCTCCAGCACAGAACCATTCAGTGTACATGCAAAGCAGCAGAATAATAGTAATAATACCAATAAAAGGGGGAGTAAAGGGATAAATACTACTACAGCCACACTACATTGATTAGTGGACATTAGGCAGTAGTGAGATAAGATTTTTGTGGGCCTCAGAATCTCCTCCAAATCAAACATTTGTGGCCCAATTTCTCATCATTTTAAGAACATTTTCTTGCCAGAAATCTGCAGGAAATTATATCACCAGTGTTTAGATATCTGATAATGCATTTTAGCAGTGATCCCAGTGAGATATAGGAGCACCTCCCCCGCCACCCCGTAAAAAAAGATGTAGGTACATAAGCCTACCAAATCTTAGATACCTAACACTGCTTCAAAAAATAAAAAAAAACTATAAATAAGACTTTGAATTAAGTAATATACCTTCCACCGCAGAGATCTTTGGGTCAATTCCAAGCATAGAACTGTTGTGAAGTGATGCAATCATTGGGTCAAATGCAGACAAGTCTTTTGAAAAATTTAGATCTTGTATTATTATTTTAAGCTTCACAATAATACTTCCAGCTTTAATGGAATCCACTTGTACTTTCAGCTTCCCGGATAGGTGTAATGCATTCATATTTGAAGGATATGAATTCCTAATCTGAAAACAGATAAGAGAACCAGTAATGGGATCCTACCTTAGTCACTACTGGTTCGGTGGGTGATCGCGCTCACACACACGCGTGCACACCCCTAATGCACACACCCCTAACAAGCTAATCAGCTGAGAGGATGAAGAAATTAAAAGCTAGGAGTGACTCCCACTCTCCCATGCACTTTTCAGTCTTTTATCCTCTCTCAGCTGATAGTTGATCGCTTTTTTTCCTCCTCTTAGCTGATTGGAGGCTTTTTTTTTACTACTGGTTTGGTTGAAGCAGTCCAACCTGGTAGCATACCTCCACTGAAGAGAACTATTGCTGTTTTAATGCCCTTGTGTGCACCACATGCACAAACACACACACACACACAACCTCAGATATACACACTGAATTTCCTTCTCCTTTCTGTCATTCTTCTTTATATTTTTTTCATAATGTTTATAGAGAAATTAAATTTGTACCCATGGCATGCTGAGCAAAATTAACTTCTGTCACAAGGCAATTTGCCTCTTATGTTCAAAAGTCACCTGAGTAGACAAGAACTGAATGTCATTTCACAGGGTCTCATTTCACAGACTGAATTTCTCTCAACTGCAATGCCAATTAAATGAAAGCCTTTCAAAGAATCATAGAGTTAGAACGTGTAATTTCAGCCATTTAGCCTAATTAATTTCTCAGTGCAGGGATTCAAATTGAAGCATCCCAGATAAATAGTTTTCCAGCATACTATATCCTTCAGTATCTGATGAAATGGAGGCCACCACCTCTCTAGCATATACAGAGTTTTCTTCCTGTTAGGGACCCATTATCATGTTCCCTACCTGTTCTCCTCAGATTCTGTTTCATCTGCAAGGGCCTAAAATTGGTTTTTGGAATTGCAGCCAAAATACCACGTTTCCCCCAAAATAAGACCCACCCTGAAAATAAGCCCTGGCCTAATTTTGGGGGGTAGGCCTAATATAAGCCCTACCCCAAAAATAAGCCCAGGAGGATGGGCATGGCCAGCACAAGAAGTGGCAAACACACGTGGGGTTGACAGTCCCTCACCCCCACCCCACCCAGGGCAGCCACATCCCTTCACTAACCTGCTTTCCAGCTCTGCTCTGCGCCACCGCATGCAGGGCACCACATGCAGGGTAGTCTGTGGGACTATGGTTAAAAAAAGAGTTCAGACCTTCCAAGTTCATGAGATCTTTTTTTTGTGAGAAGTTGGAAGGCCTGAACTACTTTTTTTAACATAGTCCTACAGACTACTTTTCTTGCCCTGCATGCACAATGGAGAACAGAGCTGGAAAGCAGGTTAGTGTTTGTGTATGAGAGAGAGAGGGTGAGAGAGAGGGAGATCGGATCCAACCTCAGAGAGTTATCCAGGGCTGGCAACAATGTTCTCTGTCTCTCTCTCTCTCTGTCTGTCTCTCTGTCTGTCTCTCTCTCTCTCTCTCTCTCACACACACACACACAGAGACACACCCAGATCTCCCTCACTCCCCCAACCCACCAAAGCAGTCACATCCCTTTATTATATTGCTTTCCACCTCTGTTCTTTTGTTGTGCATTCTCCATCCTCCTCTCAGCTGTGGTGGTTCCCGTGCTGGCTGCCAAGCGGCTGCCTCTGTTGCTGCTGGCCTTGCAGGAGCTCTTCCCCTTCCTGGCAGTGCTGCTCTCAGCTCCCTGCTGAGCTGCCGGCCTGCCAGGGCCTCTTTGCCAGCAGATGCCGGTGGAGCTGTACTACCTGTGACACATCACCCGCTGTTGCTTTTGGGCTGCTGAGCGCTGGCCTGTATGCCTACCTGATGCTGCAGGCACTTGGCTCACAGCTATGCCTCACGCCTGCCTTGTACAACTGGCAAGAGAGCTACAGCACCCACCAGGGCCTGAAAGCACTGGGCTCAGCATAGCTGTATGCCTGGCACCTGCAGACTGAGGCTGCAAAAGCATCCATGTTTCTTGGAGCTGGTGGCAGAAGCTCACCTGCAGATCAGCTGTTTTGTGGACCAAGCTGCTTTTAAGACTATTTGGCAAGGAGGCATGAGGGAGCCTGCCCCCTGCCTCTTGGTACTGGGGAAAAAAATAAGACTTCCCTGAAAATAAGACCTGGTGCATTGTTGGTGGCCCAAAAAAATATAAGACCTGGTCTTATTTTTGGGGAAACACAGTATTTTCTATGCCTACAGCTTAATTTTAGGTTAAACTAAAATAAATAAGAAAATCATTGTTGTCAATATAGTTGCATTATTGCATTACATAAAATTTATTCTGAGATATCAAATATATAACAGGTTTTAGCATTACCTTGCCCATCAAAGTTCTAGAAAAATTCTGGTATTCTCTGCTGCTCACATTGAGAAACTGGTTAGTGAAGTTATAGTTCAAGATCCTTAGAGTTAGACCAAATATCAAGGCATCTAAAAGATACAGTATTGGAATACAGCATTAAGACAGTGATACAATGAGAGGTAAAGCATATGAGAACAGACAAATCAATAAAACCCTAATGCTTCCCAAATTTTAATTAGACACTTAAGGCATTTCAGATTTACGGTACTATCCAGAGGTAGGCTTCAGCTGGTTTGGACCAGTTTGGGTGAACTGGTTATTAAGATTCTGCACAGTTCAGCGAACCAGCAAATCCCACCACTGGCTGGCCCTGCCCACTTCACCCTGCCCACCCTATCTCACCTTGCTCACCTTGGCTGGTGGCTAGAATCATGCCCACGCCCAGCTACTCTCTGGCTCCTCTGCTCGTTCAGACCACACGGCCTAGCTGATCTCCGTACCTCGCCCACTCTGCTCACCGCAGCTGCCCATGAAGGTAAGGTGCAGTGCCAAAGAGCTGCCTCAGGGTAGACACGGTGAGGCTTGGTCGCTTTTCAGGTCTGGCTCTTGCCATTCTTACGCCCACATGCCACCCATTTACCCTTCGCTGGGAGATGCTCAAGTCCCTGGCTCTGGCCTTACCCGGGGCCTCTGCCCACATGCTGGGCTGCCACTGTGAGAATGGTGTGAGCCCCATGGGCTAGAAGGTAAGGTGGGGAAGGAAGATCCATTCTGGGCTTGCTACACTCAGTTGAAGGACCACTTTGGTGGAGGGGGGACACATGGTGAGGTTCAGCTGCCTTTTGGCCCCAACTTAGGCTTCCACAGGGCCTTCCGGGTGCAATGCGTGAGAGAAAATGCTTCCCCACCCGCTCACCCATCTGCCGGCTGGCCTGGCCTGGAAGCAGCATGTCCCCTTGTCTGGATGTGGGACCTGAGGCGGAGCGGAGGTTGAACAGGCAGAAGCCCAGAGCAGGGCCCAAAAGGTGGTCTTGCCTCGCTGTGTCCACCCCACTGAGAAGTCTTCAGTCGCCGGTATTTACTGGCACGAGAATCCTGTACCCGCTCATCTTTGTTGGCACGAGAATCCTCATGCCGGCAAAGAGTGGCAGCTGCAGGCTTCTCGTGCTGAAAAAGACTGGCGGCTGCAGGCTTCTCATGTTGAAAAAGAGCACCGGCTGCAGGATTCTCATTCTGAAAAAAAAGGCTGGTAGTAGCTGCAGACCAGTGTCTCGGGGCGGGGCCCAGCTGCACCAACAAAGGCCAAAAGTAGCTGCCTGCTGTTTCCTGCTGCAAACCCCTTTTTGAAAACCTTGTCTGTTGGGCAGCAAAACCCAGCAAAAGATGAGGTGTCGGAGAATCCCCGTTGCTGTTGCTGCACAAAGATAAGTCTAAGGCTCCAGCCACCGCCGCTTCGGCCCACCCGCCCCACCTTGCTGTGAGTGACATTGAGTTGGCCACACCCACTCAGTCACATGACCCCACGCAGCCATGCTCACCCGGTCTTTAGGATGAACCAGTTGTTAAATTAGTTGGATCCCACCACAAGTACTATCATCTCAAATTAGGGAGCGTTTTAGGAGAAAAATTGACATGTTAGAAAAAATATTTTCAATTGAATAAAATAGTAAATATAATTGCATACAGTACCTGTTTTCACAATTCTACTGGAAGTAATATTTTTACCACAAGCTTCATAACTGATGTTCATTGTATACATTACACCTGCTTCTAGGTTTAACATAGTTAGGTTCATATCTGTGGTTTCCATTCTTTCAACAAGTTCATTGCTTTTGTACACTTCTGCTCGGAATGAATGATTCTGCAAAGAATTTATACTCCAGGATGCTTTAAAACTGCTGCTAGTTACACTGAAGATCTTGTGGTTTCTAATAGAAGGAGATTCTGCAACGACAAATGTGTGAGAGTTATCCAGGGGTGGGATTCAAAAATCCCAGCAACAGGTTCACTGCCCAGTTGCTGGGTGGATGTGGCCTACTGGACCTTCCAGGAGGGCCATTTTTCACCTTCGCAAGGGTCTAGAGCAGGGGTGGGCAAACTACGGCCCGCGGGCCACATCCGGCCCGTTGGTCTTTTTTTTCCGGCCTGCCGAAGATTGGTACAGAAGTAAGGTTTGATGTGAATGATTGAATGATTCCATTCATTTGATTTTGACTTGTAATGATAGGCATTTTGACACCAGGTGGCGCATTAGGCGCAGTGACTTGATTTTGCGGAGATTTTGCAGTTTTTTTATGTATCGTATCTTGTGCTGACCCGGCCCGTCTGTCAAATTTTAAAAATCAATGAGGCCCCCAAGCCAAAAAGTTTGCCCACCCCTGGTCTAGAGGCTTCCCTCGGGCCTCTGAAGGCCCTCCGGAAGCTGGAAACAGGCCCATTTTGTGACTTTCAGAACTTCTGGTAGGGCCATTTTTCACCTTCCCAAGGGTCTGGAGACTTCCCTAGGGCCTCTGTGGGGGGCAAAAATGGCCTCCCCCGGGCTGTGAAGATCCTCTGGAAGTCAGAAACAGGCCCGTTTCCAGACTTCTGGAAGGCCCATTTTTTCCCTTTCCCAGAGCCTCCGCGCAGACCCTGCATTTAACTGCATCGAAAATGGGCCAAGTGGAAACTCCAGGGAGGGAAGGGGAGGAGAGGGGTGGGCGGGGCCAGCTGATTGGTTCAAATACCAGTTCAGCGAACCAGATGCAAATTTAACATCCAGTTCGCCCGAACCGGTACAAACCGGTAGAATCCCACCCCTGGAGTTATCATATTTTAGGAAAATAAAAACCTTCTGCAGTCATATTTTGTGTGGCTAAGGAATGATAGACATGCACTTTAACTGCATAACATAGTTAGTTTAGTATTTCCTTTTAGCAATATATGAAGTCAATGCAGAATTTGATTCATAGTTGAGGGGCAGAAATTATTTCCTCAACCTTTAGGGTAGAAATATAAGGTGGTCTATCTTGGCATTCCTGATTGTGATGCTATGCAAAAAAACAAAAAAAACCACCTGTCTATAGAAGGGCAGCCTTTTGTGTGGTTTCTGAAAATTTGTACATTTTTGCCATGGAATGAAATTAAACACTAAACTATTTAGGATTCAGCTGTTTATCTGGCAATAGATGCTCTTACTTTGGCTAGACCTAAGTGGCTAGGGATTTTTTTAAAATTTTATTTCACATTAATATAATAAGTAAGTGATTGTTCCACTAAGTTCATTTGCTGATTGGCAAGTAGTATAGATTTTTTTTATTTATTAAATGTAAATGTCACCCATCTTGTTGGAAGTGATACCATGGACAATCTTACAAAATGGTCAGGCCTGTTCTATTTCTGCTGTCATTTGGCTGAAGAAGTTGGAGAATGACACTAGTCATTAGAGCTGAAGTTTAGTCTATCAAATACTAGTCACCCTCTCTGGAAAGTAAAAGATCAATTTTTAATTAATCTTCCTCTTGGAACCAAAGGAAGTTCACTCAAAGGTGCCCACAGATCCATTTACCTGTTCTGTTATAATCAACTCATCTTATTCAAGGCTAGCAAACGCACACAAAATTTAAATTGTCTGAATTTCAGGATTAAACTAAAACAACTATTTGGCTATAATTTCCTAAGCAGTTCATGTGTTCCATTATAAATGTTATGTTCAAATGCCTATTTGTTCCTGCTCTAGAGCTTCTGGTGCATTTCTTTGTGCAGTCGGGGCATGTAGAAATGTTCCATTAAATTCAACAGAAAAGTGTACATTTTCCTTCACATCAAGGCTACCAAAGTGAAAATGTCATCACATGTGTCCCTCAGGATTCAGGATTGTTTCCACTGAACATGTGGGACTCATGGATTGTTTCTGTTGGCCCCAAGGGTTGAATGGTCAGGTTAAAAGCTGACCCTTCAGATTGTTAGGGGCAAAGGGAGGAAAAGGAAATAAAAGGTTCAGTAATTGTGTCTTTACTTTGAAGCTTAAACTATTTGAAGAATAAGTTCCATGTATCTGAATGTGCAACAAAGCTTTTTTTAAAAAAACTGTTTTCTCCAATCTGATCTCTTATAAATATATTAAACTGAAATTCCTATTACTGCTGGCCAGGAGTTTAGGAAAATAACTTTTGACCATAGGAACATAATATGAAGTCCACTCAAGGCAGCAAAGCAGCTTGCACAAATATGAATTCACACAAGACCAAAATCCCCACATTACCTTAAAAAAAATCAGACATATCAAAGTTTAGAAACTGAGCGAAAAAGCACTTTTTATTTATTTCTTAAAGGTACTCTGGGACTTGCAACTGAAATATTGTTCCCAATTGAATGAATAAACAAATGTATTGGATTATAGCTGCACAAATAATTCTGTGGTACTCCAAACAATAAATCTCATATGCCAAAATTGATAGGAGTTAAATATGTACTCATTTATATAAAAGGATGTGCTTTCATTAAAGCAGTTAAAATATGAAGCAGAATGAGCAACTGAGCAATCATTATTCTTCTTTAAGCACCAATATATAAATCTTAATCATTAACATTCTTTAAGCAGCAATCTATAAAAGATCAGCACTTCATTCTATAAATCTAACTTTTTCAAATGATATTAAGACTTTAAGAAAGTCTTCAAGGCAAAAGCTTTCTGATAAACTATACTGAACAGTAATCTATTGTTCTGAAATGGTAAGATATACTTACAAACAAAATGTATCAGTAGGTCAATTAATTTGTTAATTTACATAAGTATTCATTGATTCCTTTATATACAGAGAAATGTTAAATAAATGATAGCGTAGGCACAATTAAAAGAGCAAACATGCTTAAATAAAGCAGGCCCCACAGGCCCTAAAGAAAGTAAAATTTAAAAATAAATGATTTTAAAATATAAATCAACTTACCACATTCAGAATCTACTGATACATGGATTTCAGGTGATGCAGATCTTGAATTTCTCAGCAAATTAGAAGAATTCATATTTTTAATCAGAATGTTGGGTATATCATGATCACAATCTGGATCAAAGAAAAGAATAATGAAACATGTTCACAAGCAAGTAGGTATTCCTAAAAGCTAGCTGCAAGATTTAATCAGCTATGGAATGTACAGACAATATAGAGGCAATGTTTTGTTATATAGCATATGTATTTCTGTCTTCTTTTTAACATTTATCTACCCTCCTATCACTTCTGGTCTGTTAGTGAAAAATGACCAAAAAAAGAGGTTTGATTTGAGATGATATCTCCTTGTGTATCCTTTGACAAATTCTGGAACCTAAAGGATGTTCACTTGAATATATACATGGGTATATATGGATCAGTTTCTTCTTTCACAATTTTTAGAGAAACTGTTAAAGACTTTTCTCATTAATAAATATTAAGGCGTTGGCAGGGAAGGAGAAGGTGCAATAATATGGTCTTTATTTAGCATTGGTTGGTTGGTTGGATTGGGTTGGTTTTTCAAATTTGTTTGCACTTATTTTAAAGGAATGTTTTTGTGACACTATGTAGAAAATTGAAAAATTAAAAAATTGTCCTGACCAGAATTTCCTACCACTCTATAATTTAATATTTGGCATCATTTCCATATTTTAATGTATAAATTCACAAACATGGGCATGTGATTGAGTGGCATGGCCAATCAACATCACTCGTGACCATGGGGATGCTGCAATGGTCATAAGTGTGAAAAATGGTCATAAGTCACTTTTTTCAGTGACATTTTAACTTTGTATGGTCACTAAATGAACTGTTGTAAGTCAATGATTACCCATACAAAAATACAAAGAGCTTCTTTGCTTGAAAAAAGCTGCCCTAAATACCAATCATTAAATTAAAAATACCCACAAACCAGAGTTACAAATCAGGCAGGGTGCCAGAGCACCTTGAGGAATTAAAATAGTTAAAATGCAATGATAACTATCAGCAGCCAACTATTGCTCATAAAGTGAAACCCTTTAGCAGAGCGATTGTTTAAGCTCTCCAGAAAGTGGGTGGGCATATTTGGGCTACAAAACGCTGAGCTAAAGAGACAAATTAATGAATTATACAGAGGACCCAGATTCAAACCTCCCAAGCTTGTCAGGGTCACAATAAAATTAGTACATGCCACAGGTATCTAAATAAACTTCAAGCCTGTGCCAAGTTACTAAGCCTTATTATCATGAGAGAAAACTAAAACTAATTGGAGGATCCATATCCCTTCCTCCTTTTTTTTAATCTTACTATCAGCGAGGCAATCATGTGCCTTGGCTACTCCAAAACAATGCAAAAGAAACCAAGAAAGTCCAGTTGCCTCTTGACAAAAGCACCTTTAGGACAGCCATGACCTGGCTGACTGAAGAATCCCCATAGACAAGAGACTCCTGTGCTCAATGAATTGACAAAGCACCCTTTCCCACCCAGGAGAAGCAATCCTTAGATCCATTTGCACCACTTAAAGATACCAGCCGATCTCACTCACCTCACAACATATCCTAAGGAAATCATCCAGATTTAAGGCAAGATCACATGCCCTCAGAAAGGCAGTAAAAAAAACCAGACAGAGTGCCAAGCTTGTATCCTGCCTCTTGGAAATATACCCCAAAAGGATAGTGCTAGGAACCAGTAAAGCAGTGTAAAAAGCTTAAAACAACCCTTTCCCTTTAAGAAGGTCAAGCCTCTAATAAAGCAAAGAAAAGCAAAGTACCAGCAAAGGAGGAAAAAAAAAACTTCAAGAAGCTCTGGCTCTGGCAAGAACCATTACCTGTTACAATTTAATAAAGCTTAACCGGAGTGGCAGTTTCTGTAAGCAGGGCAATAAAGATAAGGATTAGGCTAGAAACAACACCAAAATGTTTCTTTCCTGCCTTCCTGACAGGATTAGCCCTGTAAAGTGGGGGGAAAAACAAAAGGAGATTTCTTCCAACAACCAGTTCTCCAAACTGCTCAGAAAGTTAACAAACGTGTCTCCCGAACAAGGTGCGAACCTGCTGAATGCCACCATTGGGGTTGTGACTGGCCATACCCTCAATGGCAATCTTTTTGACCCATGATATACAATCAAGCTACAAGTTTTCTCCTTGTCCCCTACTGACAGGAGATATTTGCCCTAGGTAAATACTACCGTGTTTCTCCAACAATATGGCCTCCACCAATAGGAAGGCCCAGCATGTTTTATCGGCATAAAATCAAATTAAGCCCCCCCCCCCATTAAGGCCTATATTAAACATGCAAAATGGGGGGGAATGGCGGGGGGGCTTGCCGTTAGGAAGTAGTTTTGTTGCATACCTGGATATGTTGCTGCCTGCGTTGACTTTGACGTGGGTGGGGCACTTCGTATCAGGAGACCTTCCTCCACCGTTGCTTTCCCTTCTCCCTTGCTGTCGCAGCACTTAGAGCAATGCTGCGGCGTTTGGCACAGCCACGCACAGCCAGCCAGGGCTCCTCCCTGCAACCGGAGCCCGGTGGAGACACTCGGCTTCAGGCGCTCTTGTCGCTGCCTTCCCTTTGCCTTCAAAGGCAAAGCCAATTCTTTTCACCCTACTACCGGTACGACAAAGCCTCCCCTGCCCGAGAGGGCAGCCCAACCCCACATGGGGAGGCGAATCTCCTGGGGCCGCAGCGCAGGATCGGGCCACCCCAGGAGAAGCACCCAGCCGCTATGCCTGTCTGGCGCCAGGCAGAGTGCGAAGAGCTTCACCTGGGGAGCCCAGCGCAGCTGTCAGGTGGGCCCTTCTGCCTGGCGGTGGAGCTCTCGCCAAGGCAGCGAGCGCCTCCCCGCTTGACTCTCTGCTCATCCCGTCAGGGCCGTGCCAGAGCCGTGCAGGCTGGGCAGAGCCAGGAAAGCGAGCCGCAGGTGTGCGTCCGCCTGCCAAGCGAAAGAGCCAGGCCGACCCAAGCTTGGCTTCCTTCCCAAGTCCCTACAGCCCGAACCTGAAGGGGCCACTGGGAGAGGCCGCCCAAGGCAGTGATAGCGCCCACCCATCCGTGGACAGGGAGGCAAGGCGACGGCCTGCGCTGCGTCCTCCTCCGAACTGAGCCCCGCTGAGACAGCGCCTCTGCCTGATGTCCGTTCCACTGCAGTGTTTGGAGCTGCTGCCGCATTTGAAGATGCGTGGGGATGGGGACGGGCTGGGCGAGGGGTGGAAAGGACAGGCGGCTTTGGGCTCTCTCCGCCGGCAGCACTGCCATCACCTCGCCTCCCTGTCCGCGGATGGGTGGGCGCTATCACTGCCTCGGGCAGCCTCTCCCGCTGGCCCCTTCGGGTTCGCACTGGAGAGACTTGGGAAGGAAGCCAAGCTCAGGTTGGCCCGGCTCTTTTGCTTGGCAGGCGGGCGCACACCTGCGGCTCGCTTTCCTGGCTCTGCCCAGCCTGCACGGCTCTGGCGCGGCCCTGGTGGGATGAGCAGAGGGTCCAGCGGGGAGGTGCTCACTGCCTTGGTGAGACCTCTGCTGCCAGAAAGGAGGGCCCGCTGTCAGCTGTGCTGGGCACCCCAGGCAAAGCTCTTCACGCTCTGCCCGGCGCCAGGCAGGGATGGTGGCTGGGCACTTCTCCCGAGGTGGGCCGATCCTGCACTGCGGCCCCAGGAGATTTGCCTCCCCATGTGGGGTTGGGCTGCCCTCTCGTGCAGGGGAGTTTTTGTTGTATTAGGGCGTTGTTTTTAAAATAATTGGCTTTACCTTCGAAGGCAAAGGGAAGGCGGCGACAGGAGCTCCGGGCTCCGGCTGCAGGGAGGAGCCCTGGCTGGCCGCACGTGGCTGTTCCAAACGCCGAGGCATTGCTCTAAATGCCGCAGCAGCAAGGGAGAAGGAAAAGCAACGGTGGCAGAAGGGCTCCCGATACGAAGTGTCCCACCAACGCCGAGGTCAACATCCAAGCTGTCACTGCCCGCTCACCCGAGGATGCAAGGGGGGGAATTAAGTCACCCCCGAAAAGACGGCCTAGCCATTTTTTCGGGGGTAAAAGAAAAACAAGGCCTGGCCTTATTTTGTGAGAAACATGGTAGATTGCATGTCTACAGATTAATAATTGCATTTGCTGAAATAAGTTTTAGATTAGTCGTTATACAAGCTTTGGGGGGGGGGGTTTTCCTACATTTTTCCCCAGATTAAAGAACAAGTAAAACTAGGCCTTAAGTGTAGGTGCTGATTTAACTCTGTGATTGCACTGAAGTGAAAGCAATCATTATATTAAGGTCTTGATGTGAATGTTTACTCCATGCAGCTAAATGCTGTGGCAAAAGATAGATTTGTATTGTGATCTTCAGCTTTCAGGTTATTACATATGACAAACTGTACTTGAGATTCACATAATGTATACAAGAGATTTACTCTTTTCTGAAAGTCCCCCTCCTCACACCCTAGAAAATGCCTTGTCACACTAGAGATCCTGTTTTCTAATCCTGAAAATCCAAACATAAAGTAAAAACAGAAATTTTAAAAATCTCTCTATTTTATAGAGCTGCTCTTCAGTCAAATATATCTGTAATAATAACCTTGTACAACAACGTCAATAACTTCATATACTCTGATCACAATTTTCTTCAGCAAAGAAGAAATATTGACCAATGGAACCAGTTGCTGCAGTCCAACCAGGACATGAGACACTAATGTCTCTGCATAAGTTTCTGACTTGGTTGTCTGGATATGATACACAGAGATGTCCATTGGCCACAATGCTCCAGTAATCTGGAAAAGAGAGAAACTCTTCTTAAATGTTATAAAATACATTGTAGACAAGTAAGTATTTTTTCTCTTTAAATTCTATATATAAAATGAAAAACAATGCAATCAAAATTAGATCCTTTCTAACACTTTAAAAACGTTTCAGTATTAACTTAACACATGATAATTCTATTAAAGAGGCATTATTTTAGTCAGAATTTTATAATTTATTTGAATTACATTGAAATATATTTTAAACCATTTTAAATAATATTTAATAAATATTTAACATTATTCATTTTAAGAACATTTTCATGTTCAAGCAATGTTTTGCCAGTAAACGCATCAGAAAAAGGGGTTTATCTGAAATGTAAGAGGAACTGTATATTTTATAATTTCTTTGCCCAGTAGGTGGCATTCGAGTATAGGCTGGGCTTTCTTATATCAACAGAAATATACAGGACACTTTATATATTACTATTCTGTTGATTCATACCATAGAGTGCAAAAGACGTGAATGATTCAGAAGTCTTGGATCCACTTTGTATAATTCACTGAAATCCGTTTTCACAAGGACTGACACATTATACCAGTATTTTGTCACTGTTCGTTCTAGAAATGGAAAGAAAAAACAATCAGGTGGTAGTCAGAACTTTACATTAGTGCAGGGGTGTCCAACCTGGGCAACTTTAAGCCTGGAGGACTTCAACTCCCAGAATTCCCCAGCCAGCTGGCTGGGGAATTCTGGGAGTTGAAGTCCTCCAGGCTTAAAGTTGCCCAGGTTGGACACCCCTGCATTAGTGCATAGGTGCTGAACTAACATAATGGACTTCTCATTTTCGGTTGTCTTGATTAACTGCTGAGACTCACAAGGTGTGACAATATATGCATTTAATCAACCAATCAGAATTATGTATGAGACTCATATATTCTACATAATAATGGATCTCTTTTGTGTGAAAACCCTGACAGAATTTTGAAACACACCTAAAATATCAGATCAAGATTGCTTAAGAAGAAAAGACCCACAAATCAGATCCTCTGCCTCAACTCCCCTATATCCAAAGAAGAAAAGAATAAGGAGCATGACACTATTGTACTACTATACCTTCTGGAACAGGATCTGAACAATAGATTCCCGTGGATGTCTTACAGCATTTTTTATATTCTGGACAATCAATGTCAGACACACACGAACTCTTTAATGCTTCCCCTATCTTCATGGGACAGGCACCAGGTCTTGAAGCAAACTCGTTGGATCTGTTTATGGCTACAAAACAGAACATTTTACAAAGAAAAGTACACTCACTGGCCAAGGTTCTAGTTTCTCTAGGTACATCGAAGAACCTAACCATCCTCAATGGAATTTTCTTTTAAGTTTATTTTGAGCCAACCCTTGCTGATGCCTATGAACATCAGATTCAAAAGTTCTTTTCCACAGAATTTTGAAGCAGTGAAGAAAATATTCTTGACTCAATAGGTTCTAGTTCCAGAGACAATTTTCAGCCATTGGAAACACATGCTAGAGTTCCCTCTCTTTTTAATTGTTGTTACCTTGTCTTAAGTCATGACTAATGTCAAGGCAAAACATGAAGACAGGGAGAGAGCAAGAATAAAGTCCATTCTTCCACACCTCTGTCCAGATTGTATCTATATTCCCCTCTGAGAAAGCTAAATGTGGATTTAGACCTTTAATTATACAATATCAGAAGCCCTTGGCCTCTTTGATGCAACTATTTCTGGATTAGGGTAATAAACCTTATCTGAAGTTAAATGCCATGCCTGAAACCATTGTTAACTTGGGTATTAGTCTGCCTTGAAGATGAAACCAAATCTTTTGCTGGTGAAAAAGATAGTCAAGAGAGTTTTGAATTGGCATCAGACACTTTACATAAATTATGCTGGTCCTTTTTCACACTAGCTTCCAGCTCACTTTGGAACAAAATTTGAAACATGGGTTTTCACTCACGGAAGTAGAGAGCTGTACACTATTTGGAAACTTAGTACCTACCCAGTATATTTCTAGTTCTTTACTTTTTATGACTCATTTCTAAGAAAACTGATTTTGAGGTTTGAAGGGTGGTTCTCTGAGGAAAGGTCTCTAAAATGATAACAGAAGGCTTTCTCCAGAGGAGCCTGCTAAACTTCAGACCTGTTTTCATTTTGACAATCAACTTATTTATGTATTGGCACCACCAGTGGTTTTTAAAGACGATTGTTGTTTTAATCCTTTTGATAGTTTACTAGTATTAGTGCCTATATGTACTGCTTGATTCTTTTGGCTGTACCTTTTTCAAATACAGTTGATTTTTATTTTATACTGAATTATTTTGGATTTTTATAGATTTTATCAGATTATTTTACATGATTGCAAACAACACATAGAATTACTGTTACTGGTAATTCATAATTATATAATCAGTTTTCTATAATGTGGAAAGTATTATCAACCCTTTCATAATAATCACTATTATAATTTCATCCAATTCATGGAGTCAGGATAGCAATGAAATAGCCCATGGAAGGGATTCACTGTAGTACAGGGGTGTCAAACCTGCGTCATCATGGTGGCATCACGTGATATATCAGGACGCCCCCTTCACTAAACTGGGCATGGCTTGGCCAGCACATGACGTATCCAGCCCACAGGCTGCGAGTTTGACAGCCCTGTTGTAGTATCTCATACAAACTGTTATGGCATGAAAATGACACCTCTTATGCACTTGCATTCAATATGACTTGTGGACTTCACCTCCCAGAATTCAATATGACTTGTGGATTTCAACTTCCAGAATTTTGGTGTCCACAAGTCATAAAAGGGCCGTAGTTCCTTACTCCTGCTCTAGGATATCTCTGGGAGTGGCCACCACAGTAGCTACTGGAAAGCATTTGCTGTGAAATTATAAATACTTTATAAGGTGATTTACATGATTTCACTACCATAAAAAGGTAGGGCATAGTGACAAACTAGTGTCACTGGAAGGTCCCGATTAGACTGATGCTAGGAGCATGGTAGAAAGAAAGAGCTGATATCAAAGGTCAGTCCCACTATTTTAATGCAATTTCCCTGGTTTAATGCAGAAATTAATTTTAATAAAAATAATATAAAGGAGCAATAAATAATGGCAATTATATTTCAACTGTAAAAAAATATCTGACTTGATCTGAAACTTTGCAGGCCACCAGCAACATTTTGTGCAAAAATGAGATGACGAAGGTTTCCAGCAATGCAGAAATCTAAATCTACCTCCAATTCAAGTAATCTTTATATGCCAGCTAAGCAGATGAAAATGAAAGCCAGCCTCTCACATCTGTACCTCTCTGATAACAAGACCTAACAGCATTCCAGTACTCTAATCAGAGAAATATAAATGTCAGCCATTCCCTTGATGTTAATGGTGAATAAACAGTCAGTACTCCCCCCCCCACCTCATTTCAGGATTGATTGCTTTCGTCTAGAGTATATCAATGCCAAGAGGTGCTATTTTGTGTGAATCCGTCTGCTAGAATGCTTAGCATAGTTATGAGCATTACATTTAATCAGCTCTAGAAGTGCATTTAATTACACTGAAGTAATGCTTTTCCCACCAAAGGTAATTGCACCCAGGGAGGGGAAACATGTGACCCTCCAGTTGTTCCTGAATAAAAATTCCCAGCATCCCTCACTTCTGGCCATATTGAATTGGACTCCTGGGAATTATAGTACTGTACCATCCAGAAAGCCAAGGATTTTCCACTCTTGATTGTTAAAAATAAGTAAGAAATAAAGGATACTTAAAATAGAAAGATAAAAAGCACAAAGCAACATTACATAAATAATCTAACAAAACTTCCATTAATTCAAAACCAATAGGCTTCAAGCTAAATGAATCATACAAAATAAGTGGGCGCTAATGCATTTATATCAGTTATTGATAACAAAAAATATCAATGCCCAAATAATATTGTAATCCTAGTATAGTGTTTATAGCATAAACTTTAGCATGTTTCTGAAAAGACTGTCAAATTCTTATTAATATAGGATTCAGAGTGAAATAAATTCTTAGAGATCCCTGGAAAAATGTTACCTAGTCCAGTGTCTGCCAACCAGTGGGCTGGGGACCACTGGTGGTCCGTGAGAAAATTTTGGTGGTCCGCAGAGCACCCTCCAAAGTAATTAATCCAGGCTGCATGGGAACACAAGGCTGCACCGCCCACATGGCCCATGGGAACACAAGGTTTGTGCAACTTGCATTGTGAAAACACAAGGTAGTGAGGGGAGGGGGGAAAGGGCGGAGGGGGGAAACTTGCTCCACTCACCCCACACACCTGGCCTGGCCACCAGTCTGCTTCTGTTTATTTCTTCTTCTGCTTTTGGCTGCACACAAGGAAAGCAGCAAAAGACTTTCTTTCTGTCCCCCAAACTCCGCCAGAAATGAGTCTTTGGGACCCTGCAAGGCATCCTGCTCCAAGAGGCTGTGCCAGCGCAACAAGTCTCACACAGACTCATTTCTGACGGAGTTTGGGGTAGAGAATGAAAGATTTCTGTTGCTTCTTCTGCTTTCCTTGCATGAGGCCAAAAGTCTCTCTTTCTTTCTCTCTCCCCCTGAGAATGGAGCTGGAGACAGTATTCTGCGATCCCAGATAAAAAATAATTGATTGGTAGGAAAACGGGGTGAATTTTCCTGCAGACTTTTTGGGGGATTTTTCTAGGGTCTCTGGTTTGTGCGATTTAAAATTATGAGTTTGGTGGTCCCTGAGGTCCAAAAGGTTGGCGACCCCTGACCTTGTCAATGTCTTCCTTCAAGGAAAAGTCCCCTGAAAACCATGTAATAATAATGGAAATTGAATTGTTATGGTGCTGCTTTTTTCCAAAAGCTTTTATTTACTGTATTTTATTATTTATTTTTTTAACTCTGCCAGGTCTGCCATATGTTCTGAAAAGTTTTCAGATTAAGAGATTATGGCTGTTGTAAGAGAAATATTCATAAGTAGCCTGATAAGCTAAGATGAGACAAGGACAACTCAGTATGATTCATATTCCCATGACAACTAGTGCATGCAGAAAGCCAGTAAACGGCTGGTGCACATTTTATGTGGCTGATTCATTTGTTGCTTGCTAGAAACCATTTGCAATGAATGTAAAACCTGTTTTGAGGTTTTGAGGTTCTGCCAATCACAATTTGCCAGGAATATTTTCCTATATGTTAATTAATCAATAAAATTAGTAATGGCAAGAAAGAGAAAAGCATACCATAAAATACTCTAATTCCATTTAATTTATTTAATGTTAAATCTAAGTGATTAAATTATATAATTCATCATGTATTAAATACGCTCCTCCTAATTTTACACAAAACAAAGCATGTGCACTTCAGTGACCATTATCTGCTACTTAAATTGACTTTTGGGTGTGCTATATAGACATAAATATAGCATCCAAGAATAGATCCTCCAGTGACAGCATCTAGGGAAAATCTAAAGTGCTCTAAAAACACCTCTCATTTCTAATTATTTAGAATCCAGATATAAGTACTTTAATATCAAGGGAAACATTAAGAGCCATTCAGTAACACACTCTTTTAAATCTGCCCACTGATTAATAAATAATGAAAAGAAAAAGTTGATAAAGAATATGTCTAGATAATACCATTCATAAATATTAGCACTATGAGGTCTGGAAAATGCTTTAACCTTTACTAGGGAAATAAATAAGACAGATCTGTATATCCCCAGATAATTTGCAAATTTTCCTGAGCAGGAAGAGCCTCTAATCTGATTAGGGCAGCCCATCTGTATGCAGTTGAATATAAGTTTACCTTGTTAAATCTATCTTTGGCAAGCTTGAGATGCTCTATTATAAGTCAAGTGCAATTTTCCCTAAGAGTTTTTCTCCAGATGGAGATGATTTTGCCTGTTTATTATAGAAATTCAGAATATCTCTTCTACCAAGCCTCCCTAATCATTTTCTCCTGAAATTTTATTTGATCACAATGAAACTACCGGTATATGTAACATTTACTCAGGAATACCCATAGTCATAGGGTAGAAATGTTTTAAGGTCAAGGAAACTGTTTTTTCTTATTAATATACAGTATATGAACCACATGAATAGGTTACCTAATCTAACAAATTTTGATTTTACAGTTTTACAGTACCATTAGCATATTCTGAACTGCTAGAGTTACTATTAGCATTGACATGTATTCTGAAAAATTCCAAATCTACAGTATGTTGATAGCAATTAAAGAAAATGGGCATGGCTGCATGTTGGTGAGCAATGTAATTGAAATATATGAATATTCTAAATTACTTTTTTCCCCTTCCTAATATCTTCCCACAGATGCAGGGTCTGCTTTCCTGATCAATAGAAGGTTGGATGTGACAAGAATTGACTGGTGCCTTAACTAGATAAGACTGGCTCTCTCTTCTAAATTACATATTAAACTTTTAAAATCCGAGGTATTATAGATCTACCAAATATGAACTAAAAGGAAAAGGCCACAAACTAAATTCATAATTTTGCACTGATTATGCAGTGATTATATGTGTTCACTCTCTGCTTTAGGACTGGCTTGTTAGCAATATATACTGGCTTATTAGTCAATACAATTCCATGAGTGCTAATTTCTACTGTCTTCTGTAACTCAATGGGACATTATGGTCCAGAAAAATGGGGCATAATCAGAGAGACAAAATGAGAAATCATAATGTTGCACACATAATAAATGTCAAAACAGAAGAAAAGAAAAGGATATCACAGACTAGAAAAACTACAATAGGATGTGCAATATTAGAAGTTGATGAATAGTACTTTACATTGTATTTCAGAGTCACTCAACTCAATGATACAATGATATAGTAACTCAATGATACAATCTCCTCCTTCATATATTATAAAATATACAGTATATTACATTTGGAGTAAAAATTCCCAGTTGTAAAATATATGAAATAGTTGAAAATAGTAATCAAGGCAGAATCTGATTCTGGCACTGAAAGAGGGAAAAAGAATATAACTTTTTGAGTAGTGTTGATCTGTCTTGAAAGATCAAGCACGTTTGCACAATGGAAGTCATTTCTTTTTATTAATAAATATTTTTGAAAGGATAAAGAAAGGACCAACACCATGCCTATAATCAGAGTAATAGAAATATTGTTCTGTGACTTAGTTACTGTATATATCAAAGGAGAAATCTTCAGTGCATATTATGTCATTTACCTAAATGAATGTATTTTAGGCTATAACTAATGGTTTTTAAATGAATAAGGACTAGCAAATAATAACAAAATGACCATTGCCTAATTTCAAACAGTTTTATTTTATCTTATCTTTTTTATCATAAAACTGAAGAAATGGCATATAGGTTTATGTGCACTTCAGAGAATAGCTACAGTACTCTTATACTGAATGCATAAAATGCATTTAAGATAATATAGGAATTTAAGTAATAATGACAATGTGATATTGGAGCCAGTCTGGTGTAGTGGTTAAGGCACTGGGCTGGAAGCCAGGAGAGTGTGAGTTAGCCACAAAGCCAGTCACTCTCTACCAGCCCTAGGAAGGTAAATGGCAAGCCGTTTTAAAAAACACCTCCAAAGATTCCATGAGTTAACACTTATTTGAAGCTTCTATTTATTGATTGGTTTAGCCTGGAATTTACTATCTTTTCCTAAATAATTTAAAATGAATAAGTCAAAATGAAGGGAGGGGTCTTAAAATTGTTGAGCATATAAATAATGGTGACATAAAAAGATTTTTGTTTTACATTGGAAGGAAGTCACTTCATATTCAGCTTGTCAAATATGGAAATTCATTTGACCTTTGAACATATGCTTATAAACTTGAAATAAAAAATCCACTAGAAAGGTTCACTGAAATGAATTCATGTCCTAATCAGACTGTTCCTGGAAAGGACCACCCATAAAAGAGCAAACCTGGACTTCAATGTGTTTCTCCACAAGATACATCAACTTTAAGGAACATCAGGGATTTGCTTCAATGCATAGAAAATTATTTGTATTTTTAAAATATTTTTATCCTGCCTTTATTATTGTTATAACTCACATAATACTCCTTTCTCCTTTATTATTTTATTATTAATTACTTTTATAAATAACCCATTTAATACTCCTTACTCCTTCTATTTTCCGCACAGCAAACCTGTGAGGTGAGTTGGGCTGAGAGAGAGAGAATAGCCCAAAGTCACTCAGCTGGTTCTTGATGCCTATGGGAGGACTAGAACTCCATCTCCTGGCCTAGAACTTTAACCAGTGCACCAAACTGGCTCTCTGAAAGGTATGTGATTAAAGAGAAAAAGTAGGTAAGCCAAAAACACTTTTTCTATATTTCAATACCCAAAAATATATATTGTTTGCTGAGGTGGGCAGCTATAGAAATCAAATCAAATCAAATCAATCAATAAGCCAGCCAGCCGGCTGGCCAGCCAGCTAGCTATTGTTGTATATGGACCGTATTTGCCAAATCTGCTTTATGGGGGGGAGGGGGGGGAGAAGAATAAGCACTATAAATAAACAAAAGTCAGTTTATTTGCTGCTATCTAGAAGTCATTCAGATATTGGCAAGTGACCTAACTTGCTGACCCTATACTGCAATTAAATATATTGTTGGTTTTGCAATTCACAGGCCGTAGTCTTTCCATTGTTTTATACTTACGTAAAGAACAATATAGACCCACTTGTTCATACCCAGCACAACAATCTGTCACATTCACCGCTTCTTGGACCATAATAGGATGGTACTCTTCTTTGTAATAGGTTGTGGTGCATAATCTCCAAGGAATCCATCCACATGGTGTTTGTTTTTCATATGATTTTTGATACGGAACTGTTTTGCTCACATTTTTTATCACAGAATAATTGCATAAATGGTAACCAAGCAAAGAGATACCTTTCTCTAAAATAAAGAAAGCAGAGTGATCTATTAGAATGGAATTAGTGGCATAGAAGGTACCTTTCCACCAAAATACTTGGAAACAATTGAATGTTATTCAACTTCACTATTGTTAACATAAAATTTTGTTATCCTTGTAAATTCACAATGCTGAAAAATAAAAGGAAGGAGAAGAGAACGATGGTAGGATGCAGTTGCAGTGGTAAACAGTATACACTAGAAGAACAGAAAGACCATATTAGATACAGATTCATTCAGTGGTCACGAAGAGTTGACATTTGTTTGATAGCATGTAATCTTTCAATCAATATTTTGATTATTTTGAGTATGGTGTGAAGGTCCAGAAGAAAGAATGCAAGATCACGTTTGGTCAACAAATGACAAATGTTAGAAGAAATTATCCAAAATCCACTCAGATCCTTCAGGAATGGGGAGCATAAAATAAAGTAAATAAGCATATAACATACCTATTATACAGCAAGCCAAGCAGACCCAGAACTGACCCAGCCATTAAGCAGAATATGGTAATCTCCTGAAGCAGATAATTTTATCAAGATTTTTTTTCACACAATTGAGAATCTTTGGGATGGTTTTCACACATGTGAAAGAGTTCAGTGGCATATTCTTCTTGATGCCAGCATGTCTTGTACCTAAAACTTTCATGATAGATCATGTAGGCTTCTCTATTATTACTTGTTGTTTACTATTGATACTCTGATATTCTGTCTATTTTGATTGGAGGCCACATTGTTCAAGCCATTCTTAAAACAAATTTGGTTCAGTGCAAATCTGTTCCAAAAAAACTTTTACTTCTGAATAAATATTGAAGTTAACAATAATTACAGTCTAGTCCTGCTGGCATCAATTAGGATCCAGCAACAAAACCAAGCACTGAAGATACAGTTTAGAGGTTAGGGCCCAGCTCTCAGAAAATTACTATTCCCCTGGGCAGAATTGCTAAACAAAATGTGTTTACAAATTAGCATTTTCAGCAGTATAGCTCTTAGTTACAAGACTTAGCTTGCCATTAAGCTAATTTAAAATGTGCTTTGGTGTGGGTGCATGTGATGTGAATGCCTTTCAATTATGAGCTGAATTTTCCACTACAATTACTGGAAATTTATTGGATATTTACAAGGTTTATAATTATTGTCTAATTATCATTTTACTAGCTTATCTTTTATTATGACATTGATAATCCAGGCAAATACTATGGCTTTAAAATATTGACATTTTACATTCATTGGTGGCAAATTATATTGCTCAAGTAACAATTTAAAGATTTTTCTTGAACAGTGAAAAGTTTGTTAAATTACTTTTGAAATATACTGCATATACAGTGTACAATATATTGTGGCTGAAAACTGCTTATCTTTCTTCATTGTTATAATAAAGCTTATCTATCTATCTATC